ATGAACACATGCAATGTCGGTGGTCTTTGGGAGGGATGCACAACCATGTCATTCCAAACCTTTTTGTTCTGTCTTCTGCAATAGTAACATTGTCTTTTGGTTCCAGACCTGTAGAGTCCTTTGGCATATCATTCTTGACATGCTCATACAGATCTGTGGATATAGCATATACTCCCCATGCTCCTTTGACTGGAGTCCTCAAGGGGCAAGCATTGGGCAGCTTATTCTCCTTTGGCTTTTCCTCACTTGGGTGAGAATACAGCTTTGAGTTGTTATGAGAGTGCTGATTCTGGGCAGGCAAACATCCTATTCATGTGAGATGATTGATTTTCAGTTGTTTTTGTATTTTTGTGATAGAAAAGGTGGGGGAAATGAGGTGAATTTGCAGATCAACCCCCTCCAAAAGCCAGAGGTCCAGGGAAGGACCATGGCCATGGGGGCAGGCTCCTTGAGGGTCCCCTTGTGGGACAGAGTATCAGCCAGCCTGCCAGGAGAACTGGATCAGGTAGGACTGGATAGTTGTGGCCCAATGGCCTGCCATGGGGTGAGTTGCTGTGGCTTGTGATAGTACTCCAAGTTCTTGTGGTTGGTGAAGACCACAGTAGGTTCAATGGGGGAGAGGAGGTAGGGTTGGAAAGCCTTCAGGGCACAAATGATGGCCAACATCTCCAGATCATAAACCCAGTAGTGTTGTTCAGCTCCAACAAGAGACTGGGAATGGGAGCACAGGTGCCATTCAGTGTCAGCACCCTTCTGAGCAAGAACAGCCCCTGTCCCAAGTTTCAAGGCATCAGTAAACAGTGTGAAGGGCTTGGTGAAGTCAGGGATAGTGAGGACTGGAGAAGAGCATAACAAAGTTTTAAGCTTTTCAAAAGCAGCATTCCATTCTGGTGTCCACTGGTAGGAAACCCCCTTCTTCATTAGGTCATGGAGGGGTCTGGTGATGCTTGAGAAGGAAGGGATGAACTTGCAGTAGAAGTTGCAGAAGCCAAGGAACCAATGAAGCCTGGGAAGGTTGTCAGGGGCTTCCCAGGTACTAATGGTGTCAGTCTTCATAGGCAAGGTCTCCATATGCCCCTTTCCTATTATCATTCCCAAGAACTCAATTTCTTTGGCCTCGAAACAACATTTGCTGATTTTGAGGCACAACCCTTCCTTTGCACAGATTTGCAGGAACTCATGAATGTGGATTCAGAGTTCTTCCCTAGTCTTGGCATGGATAGTGATGTCATCCATATATCCAACTTGTTTACCTCATTGGGATTTGAAAGTTTTGTCCATATACCTTTGGAAAGAGGGAGGTGAGTTACACTGACCGAAGAACATTACTGTCAGTTCAAACAGTCCCCTGGGAGTAATGAACACTCCCTTCCACTCATCTCCTTCCTTAACCCAAAGGTTAGTAAATCCCTATTGAATGTTGAACTTGGCATAGTATTTTGATTCAACAAGCTCATCAAACAAAGCCTGTGCATTTGGCAACAGATGGGCATCTGGGATGGTAAAGGAATTGAGATAGCAGTAGTCTTGGATTAGCTGTTTCTTTCCATCCTTCTTTGCCACAAAGAACACTGGTGCCACTTGAGGTGAAGTCGAAGGTTGAATTTTCTTGCATTTGAGGTTCTTGTCCAGAAACTCATCCAAGACTTTAAGTTCATCAGGAGACATGGGATACACCACAGCCTTCTTTGGTTTGAAGTCATCCCATAGTCTGATTTCATGATCCAGACCAGGTCGATGTTGGGGTAGCAGGATATTGTCTTTGGCAAACACCTTGGCAAATTCCTTGTACCTTTCCAGAAGAGTTACCTCTTCTTTCCCACTTGCCAAGGCAGCTTCGAGTTCTGTAGACAAGGTGGTTTTATTAACTTTTGCCTTGGGGGTTTCACCTGAGTCCAGTTTTACTGCTTCTGGGGATAGGCCAGAAGACTCCTTCACACTATCTGTGTCCATAGACATTACCTGTGAAAGTTTAGTTTTCTCATCATCTGGATAAACAAACCCATCATCCCAACATGTGATCTTGCCAGTTTCCCAGTTCATTCATGGCTTGAACTCCTTCAAAAACAGCATTCTGAGGAGGACATGTTCTTTTCTGACAAGGGGGCCTACATAACACTTGACTCATACGACGTGCACCTTGATCTCCATTTTGAGGGTTACTTTTCAAGTGACCCATTCTTCATCTTTTCCTGTGAAAGAGGTTGTCTTGAACTTCTTTTCTACCCAATAGGTCAGGATCTTGAGTTTCTGGACCATCTTCTCCAAGATGAGGGAGACTTCTGTGCCTGAGTCAATACAGGCCCATATTCCTGCCTTGTAATCTGGTAAAATGACCAATCTGAGAGGAGAACAAATTCACATATTCAATTCATCATCTATAGAAGTACATTTAGCAGACAAAATCAAAATGGGACTGACTAATGCAGGAGATTCATCAGTCCCCTTTAAAAACCCAACAACTTCCTTTCTTCTGCATTAGCCTCATGATCTCTGACATAAGTGGTCTTCATGCCATCTTCAGCTAAAACAATATGGATGTTGGACAGTTGAGTTTTGACCTTGATTTTACAGTCACACTTGATGTGACCATCAGCTCCACAATTGAAGCATTTAAATTCTGAACCAGAACATCTGACATTCCATTTACATTTGTCAACATCCATCACATCAGGATCTTGGGAACCTCCATGGTAATGAATAAATTTCCATTCATACTGAGATTCCTTCCCTTCTAGGATATGCTTCATGGCAATTGTGGTTTGGGCTTCTCCTACACGCTGTATCCACTCAATGATGGTGGATGGAGTGCACCCAGAGTTGAGAACCCAGTTGCAATATTCTTTGTTTAAGCCTTTGCCAAAGAAGATCCCTGCTTCACACAACTCTTCTTTCAGCTGAGCCTTGTTTACAAGTCCAGTGAACTCTGCGATGTAGGCCTCAAGTTCTCATTTGCCTTGAGAAATGTCAGACAGTCATAAGATTGCAAGGGCAGTTTGATCTCCTGACTCAAAAGTAGCCTTCAACCTTTCAACGAACCTCTGAAAGGTATCCATACAGTAGATGGTACTGTCAAGCATCTGATTTTCATTTTGATAGTTCTCAGCGAAAGAGACTACCATGCCCTCAGTCATGTAGGTAAGGGTGAACAAGATCTTGAGAGACTCAGTGTTGTAGACATGTCTGTTAAGGTTCAGATATCCTTTGACCTGCATAATCCAGGTCTGGAGCCCATTGTGGCTTCCATTGTATTCTCCAGGACACCCAACATTAAACTCCCAGCCTCTGTTGTGCAGGTGGCTTGAGTAGTCATCATCTTCATCAGCTTTGGCTTTCCCCTTACTGCTACCACTGGCAGGTAGCTCTGGGGGTATGGCCTTTCCAAAGTTCCTATGATACCAGTCTTGCAAAGCCAAGTCAGTAGGTGTACCTGTTGGGAACAGGTCACTAATTGTTGCATGCATTGCCCTGTGGAGCTCCTCAGCCATTGCGACTCTTTGTTCTTCCAACCTCTGTCTCAGTTCCTCTTCCAAAATGGTCCTTGGGGGCATCTCAGGAACTGAATCTCTGTGACTGATCATCATGGACATTTCTTCTTGATTACATGCTTCTTGTTCTTCCTTGAGGACTGATCTGAAAGAAGTCTTGGACTTCTGATTGTCTTCTTCTTCTGAACTAAGCATGATTTCTGAATCCCTAAACCAGGATAGATAAGATAACTGGGGATTGGTGGCAGTAACCAATGGACTGAGCCTTCCTAATGGGATGGGCAGTAAGGGTGGGTTTCTACCAAGCCCAAGTGGATTTGGATGAGGAGGGACTGGAGGTCTCAATTTCTGTGGGTTAGACACTTTTACAGATAGTGACAATGATGACTGAGGGAGGATTTATTTCTTGAAAGAAACCTGTCAGCCAAAAGAGGTATTGATATTGTGCAAGCAACTTTATGCATAGGGAGACACAAGCACAAGCTCGAGGGAGGTGATCTATTAAAGCCTAGTGGCTGCCTGTCAAGTGGTGGAGTTGATTAAGGGTAGAAGGGTGCTTCTCAATCTTGTTCGAAGAAGCAGGACAAAGGCAGGTTAGTTTTTACATGTAGGGAAACCAATGAGCCTTGTGCTTGAGGAGTAATTGGTTTGTTGAAGTTCAGTAACCAGGGACAAGTAGACTTTTGTGAAGAGGTCAACAAGTCCCAAAAGCTGCATAGAGTTTTTTGATTTTGTTATGCCCAAGCAGAGTGACTTTGTCAAATGGACTAGGCATGATGTACATGAGGGGAATACTCTGGGCTGAACATGTCATAACCCCTATGGCTCAGTTATTGCTGAAGTCCAACAAAGGTTCACTCCTTCTGGTGAGCTGCTGGGAATCACACAGAGGAGGGGACAAGGATGAAAGCAAAGGGATGAAGCTGAGTTGCAAGTAATTGAAAAACTGAGGATACAGGACAGAATACTCAAGACTATATACCTATACAGTGAGAGTACTGTACCAGTCACAACAGACATGTCATGACATGTATCTGCAGTAATCAACAATGCCATCAGTCAAATAAGTAAGTCAGAACAAGTCATATGGTGTCATATGATGGGGATAGGCAAGGGAACAAAGGCTATACTGGCTGTGCAATCAATGCACAGTGAGGAGCCAGACACCAGAGCTATAGTACAACATCTAAGCAATACAAACAAGTCAGAAAAAGGAAATGTAACATGTCATCCATCAGAGAGGGCAGTGGAACACCAGATCAGAGGGGAGGTGTGGTCTCGACAGGTATTGGAAATACCATGATGTCTGGAGACCCAAAGGAGCCTTGCAGCATTCAAACCCCTAGGATGGCGATGATTATGAGAGACACGACAAGGCACATGATGCACATGACCACGAGAAGCTGAAAAAGGGAAGACCCCTGATGCAGGCATAACATGCACCATACACTGGTCACCTCAGACATTGTCACTACTTGCATGCAACTGAGCATGAGTACATTTTACCCTTATGCCACCATACCTAACCCATACATAGTCTATCTGCATATAAATGAATATTATAGACATTGTCACTAGTCGCGCGCGAATGAGTTTATCTGCGTATAGATCTTTTACATACATCTTGGTACTAAAGCTAGTCGATCGGTCGTAACCGACACTACAACCCTGGATAGTTGTCCTTGGTTACCTCGAAGATTACATTGCCTTCCTCAAACGCCAACGAAGACCCATCCCGATTCGAGCCTCGCTTCATTGTCGCATGCACCCATCTCCCCTGCAAACCAAAAAAGAAACAACATAACAAAGATTGTCTATCAAGAGAAAGCCAGACTGCTTACGGTGTAAGAGTTGGCCCCCAATCTGATGGCTCGCAATTTCGATCCTTTCTGAAGCATCAACGCCATAGCCTCCTCCGCACTAAAATCAACGGGTTGGTGGCAACTCGGATAGGTGTGGTCGCCATACAAGGTTCGTTCACGAAAATATCGACCGACTTGGCCACTTGAATTGACGGCTTCGTCTTCGGTCCAGTGCACATTCAGTTGCAATGACCGAAGGTTCTTCGCCGATTCCGCAACCTTTGCAATCACGTGCTGCACGATATCTCGTAAGCCCTATTCAAAGAAACCTGCATGAACATACCACATTTGGACTTGGACCAAAACACTCTAACTCTTCCAAGAGCGGACAATCTCGAGACAAATATAGCAGGGCATCGGGAGTGATCTCAGCTGCAGCAACAGTGAACCGTTTCAAGGACTTGCCATGCAGTCGTATTAAGCGAATGATGAAGGGATGCGGGATGGCAATCTGACCCTGTACTGCGAACGACGCCAGAGAAAATGACTGCAAAGATTCTCCATGTGGTATCAATGAAGATATCCACCTCCACAATTGGTCCGGTCCAAGGACGTCTACCGAGCTCGCCTGAACAGTCAGACTCCGTAGGGATGGGAGCGGCACATGAGGTGAACGATATTTGCCACGCCCGTTGTAATCGGTGTCTAAGGCCGTCAGCTTTGGAAGACAAGCCATAATGGAAGGAATAGCAGCGCTCGGTACCCCTCTCACTCGCAAATCCCGCAGAAGAGGAAGCTGCAGGAACACAGATATCAAAACGGTGGGTGGCACGCCGGCACAGCGCTGCGTAGTTATATGAGATGAGTAACGCGTGCACAGGTCAAGTGCTGAAGCGACACATACGCCAAGCTCTAAATGTGTTAGAGTGGGACCAAGTAACTCTGCCCAACCTTGTAGTACCCGCGGCGGACCCCAATCCAGCGACCAAACTGACAACCGACGTATACCGCTCATTTCGTTGAGGAGTGCCCAAGCCCTATCCCCGATATCATACTGCGTATGCAGATTGAGCTCCTTCAATGGAAGGGTCATCAAAACTTCGAGGATGGGCATAAAGTTAACTTCCGCAGATTTGGAACGGTCCCACCAGGTCACTGAAACCAGGTTGGTACACAGGCGGAGCGCCGCAGTGATATCTCCCATGACATATGGGTTCTTCCGCACAGTATCCCCTACCAGACGCTGTCAGTCTGTTCCTCTAGTGTATGTAATTCATATACACGTAGAGAATACATACCCGTCTCCGTGACATGCCAGACGTACTGCGCGAGTTCCGGTCGTCGAAGAAGGGTTGCCGAAGGGTGTAGGACGTTCTATTGAACCCGGCGACACAGCCTACGTTTAGCTACTGTGCCAATACATACTAAGGGACGGGGACGCAAACGCACGCACCTTGTCTTTGATACCCGCATCAACCGTCCTGTATATCAACGGCGTTGCAGCATAATTGAACGACCTGCAGACGATAGCTGCCACAGTCAGATCTCGTCTGTCATCCAGTTGACTGAGAATGGGTTGAACGAGATCAACCGGTAGCTTTTCGAAAGGAAACATTAGTACTAGTGTTATTATGTGGAGCTGGGACGACGTCCGTGCAAAGTTCACAGTAATTGTACACGTGTACCACCAAGGCTACCAAGCAACGAATCCAACGATGCGGTTATCGGATGCCCGTGGCAGCAGTCCCCTCGCAGCCAATGAAGTACATAATGGCCGACCACTGCGAACCACCCGCCTCGCTGAATTTTGTTGTCTGCTCACACATGGGACCGACTACGGCGCAGCAAAACGCAATATTACAGTAGTGACGCGGATGATTAGATGGCAGTGGCCACTACATCTGCTGCCCCTGCTGCGCACACTCGGCTGCTGTGCCCCATCACCTCATTATAACTGAGCACGCAACAATCTCGAGGCCCATCCAGTAATCTCGTCCTCGTAGCAAATGGCCCAGTCTGGCGGTCACGTCTACCACGCATGCTCCAACCTCGAGAAAGGCTGTGAATGTCAGAACCAGCCTCTCCTCAAAGGAGAGCTGCCTGACTTTTCACACTATGCTCAACAACAACCACACTGGGAAGAGGAGTCGAACCGGCCAACGATAAAGAAGATCTTGGTGGCCTGCGGTAAAGGCCTGGTTCTAGGACTTGCCGTGTCCGGATTCGTCCACTCGTTCAGGTTCTTCCGCAGGCACACTCATCCTCATTTCGTACGTTGTCCGTCGTCCGCGGTCGAGAGTGTACTAATAGTATCGTGTTGTCTGTCCAGCGACCTCCTTTCCCACCTGCGGAAGGCTTCGGTGCCCCCAAGGAACCCCCGCATCTGCAATGTGTCCATAGCCATAACTGGACGGACTACATCGATCAACCGATATGGAGCACCGAACCTTATGGAGCAGGGACCTCGTTTTCGCTTCCCGTTGACGCCGATTCGTTGTACCTACTTTCCCGGGGTATAAACCAGATCGGTAACTTGAAGATCACTCAATCCGATAAGGAGTCCGATTTGGTGGATGTTGATGTTCGGGTGGCATACAAATTCGAGGATGCCCTTCATCTTGCCTCTGTATGTCTTAGTGGGGGTGCGGAGAATAAATACGGCGTTAGCATTCTTGTGCGTAGATCTGGATCGTTTATCCTCAGTGCACTGACCAAAGTCATCTTCAGACTCCCCCGCACAGGAGGCATTGGTCTGGCAAGGAGCGCTTGCATTTCGACGTGGAACTCACTCTACCTGCTGCGAAAGAGGGCAGCAGTCTGAGCATAAAGAATTTGAGGACTCACCTCCCCACCTACTCCCAGAACATAGCAGACTTGTCAGAGACCGTCTCCTTCGGTAGAGTCTCCCTTGCGTCTGTTGATGGCCAAATCACCGTCGATGTGAGGCTTCTTGTATCACCGCGTAGTTTTAGGGTTTTGACTACTAAACGTTATAGTCCGTCACCGCGGGCATGGGTTCGTTCGTGACGTCCAACGGTGCTATTTCTGGTCATTTCGAAGGGGAGTCCCTGAGGTTGGCGACCGTCAACGGCAACATCGATGCAACTGTGACCCTGCTTAACCGTGAAGAACGCACGCACCCTTCCCAGCTCACAATGCACACTACCAATGGGTATGCATATGTTCATTCTCCGTTCATCATAATACAATGAACACTGATCGGGCTTTTAGACATGTTGCCTCAGAAGTTGCCTTGATCACCGATGATGCGAGCGCTGGTGGGAACTTTGATGTTCGCGCATTCTCTACAAATGGTTTTGTCGACCTTGCATTTACTGAGTCTCCCGTGGGATCCGTCCTAAAGGCCGAGGCTGCGACGACAAATGGAGAGGTCAAAGTTGCCGTACCGAGCACATACGAGGGCGGCTACTCTGGTACTGCATTGGTAGGAAGAGTCTTTGTGATGGAGCAGGACTCCGTCGAAGATCCAGAAGGGAAGGGACGCCATAGGGAGATCATAAAGAACAGAGTGGGGAATAGAGTGGATGGGACTGTGTTCTGGGTCGAGAGCGACGGAAGCCATGCGGAGAACGAGAGTCTCGTGAGAGCTTCGACCACAATTTCCTCCGTCAAGCTCGTGATTTGATGGGCCCATTCATGTGTTTTTCTTTCTCTTCCGTCACTGCGTTTTTAGCCTGCGTGTATTCATACTACTCTTAAGTTAACAAATTTTACACGTTAACGTTGACCCATGTAATTAAATGCTCGCAGTGAGCGTGTTCAAACGTTCAACGTTCAGGGGTGCACCTCACTTTCTGCACAGCCACAGAAAACGCCGAACCCGACCAACTATATCGCGATCGTTGATCGCGTTTTAACACTTGACTTGCAACAACAGACCAACATGGTATGCACACCGTGCCAAAAAAGCACGACCTGTCTAAAACGAAAACTGATCGAAAGCGTTCCAGCTCCCACTATCGCTCTTGTCAGCTGCCCAAAATAAGCCCATGGTAAGTCTCCCTCCCTTCTCACTCACACCCCCGAATCCCCACCAACATGATACTACACGAAAGCTTGTTGAATTGAAAAACGGGGAGACGTTCAACGGCCACCTTGTCAACTGCGACAACTTCATGAACATCACTCTACGAGAAGTCTATCAGACGAGCGCAGATGGCGATCGGTTCTGGAAACTCAAAGAATGTTATATACGCGGAAGCACCGTGCGTGTCCTCTTCTTTTTTTTTTGTGATTCTCGAATCGAATATGAAGGTTACATGTGCACAGATAAAATACTTGCGTGTACCAGATACATTGTTGGATAGTGTGAAGGAGGAGCAGGCACGCGCACGTGAGGCAAGTCGGAGCGCCAGAGGGGCCGGCCCTGGTTCTAGAGGAGGTCCGTGTTTGTGTTTCCATGCGCTCCCGCGCATTTTAACGTTAACTGACCAACCTGCTCTTTCTCTCTTTCTCTTATCTCGCTATCTCGCTGGTTCCGCGCGGTTGGCACGCGGTTCGTGTTTGGTCTATCACGGAACTTTTCATCCATCCAGGTCGGGGAGGTCCGGCAAGAGGAGGTGCGTTGTTCATTCTCCACACCCTACTCCCCCATTTTTTTCTTCGTCACGTCTTAAACCGCACTTGTAGGTCGTGGTTCGGCGCGGGGTGCACCCGCACGCGGCGCAAGGGGACGAGGCAGGGGTTAAACAATTGCGAAAGCTACCCCCACCCAGTGTTCACCCCTCTCCCAACCCACCTCCACCTCCACCACCAACCACCTTTATTCACTCACCCGGTCACTCACTCACTCACTCAATCAATCAACCGATCATTCAATCACCAAAACGTTTACACCCATCGCCCTCACCTTGAGGTGTTTTCTTTATCTCCTTCCAATGTATATCTTACGTACATAAGTAAAACAAATTGCTGTCTCTTGTGGAAGATAATAAACACACATACGTCAAGGGGCAGGTATGATGCGATGCCACTACTATTAGTACATACATACGTCTCGTCGGTCTAGACTTTCCTTAGGTACATATGTAGATAAAGTCGATCTGTAGACCGCTCTCAAAAGAGAATTCCATGAGCGAAAGATTTCGACAAAAGAGAAAAAAGCCCCTGGCCACATGATCAGTACAAAGCTTGCTGCCGCCCATTTCTTAACCTTAAGCTTCAGAACCAAGGCTAGTCGAACGATCTAATCAACGCGGCAGCTTCCGATATCGCAACAACTTTTATGTAAAAATATGAAACACTTGGTCTCCAACCGACAAGGCCATCAGTATTTAATCCAAAAAAAAACACAACACCGCGCGCTATATAGTTACCACTATCGCATAAAGTCTATCTAAAATTTGCCGTGCGTGATCCAGTCCAGGTATAGGCGCAAACCGTAATCACCGCATTCACTACTGCGGAACGAAAGCAGAAAGAAAGAAAAAAGAGAGAGAACCAAATACGATAATGTAGTAGTAACACTAAAGAGTGATGGGAAGTTAAAATGAGAGTTGGATGATATTGATGCAGATGTCTTTCTCTTATAACTAGGTACAATTATTGTAAAGGAATACCCCCCGACGGGATCTTCTTCAACGCTAAGCGACTATAATCTGCAGCTAAAAACGGAGGCAGAGCGGCAGAGAGGGAGATGAGTCAGTTATATTTTCTTCGGCTGACCGAGACGATTGGTCGATAGATTAAAACTCACTGTTTTGGTACACCGTATTTCCCCACCAATTAAGGTAAACACCACCGTTCGGGTACTATATTATTGAGCGATCAGTCAGGAAAGAAGCAAGGAGAGGGAAAAAAAAAAAAAAAGAAAACCGATCGAGCGCGTCGCCACCGCATCAAAAAGAAGAGACAGGGAGAAAAAAGACGTACTTGCAAAGTGAAAAAGATTACAAGAGCAGATAATATGGTGCCTGTGGCACGCAAAAAAAAAGGTGCGTTAGTAACCCCCCTCCCGTGCGAAACCAAGAAGAGTGTCTCGTACGTACCACTATCCAAAGCAGCACTCGTGACATAATTGAACTTGCTCCACCAAGCAAAGTTCTTCTTTCGAATCAAATACTGAAACACAAAGCCCGTCGCAAACCATGAAGAGTAATTGATGCCAGCAGCGGGTGGTATGGCATACACGCCGTTCAGCACGACGGGCGTGCTGACAAACCTGACCCATGAATTGGGGTATCGTCGTTGCCAGAGCCAGAAGGGAAGCGGTAAGAATGCTCCGATGATGATGGCGTACAATTCGGGGGAATACAATGCGCCCTTGCCAAATTGACGAGTTGGTCCAATGAGGCCCCTGTATGTAGAAGAGAAATGTATTACACATATACACAAAGGCGGATAATGTGGAAAGTTATACACACCAAACTGCGGACGCGGTGAAGTAGACTGAATTGTGCGGACAGGTAAGGAAACTCGCTTGGTCAGGGGAACATATATCCGGGACGTTGTCAAACATCCACTGCTTGACACCGACTTGAATGAGTGAGGCCAACACTGTACCAACTGCTTGGACTAGACACAGACCCATATCAAAAAAGAGCCATGCGGCAAAAGGGGGAGACGATATCCTTACCAACAAAGGTCGCTCGTGGTGGCACTTTGACGTAATGACCCAGCTTCAGATCCTGTACGAATGAATTGGCTTCCGACAGCGTCTGCGTCGAGTACGCTTTGAAAATCTAGTGTGGCAATTAACGAACGCCGAGGAGAGGTCTGAGAAGTAACAACCGACCATGTTAGCAACTGGATTTCCAGCTATGAGAGTACCCGGAATGATCTGAGCAAGCAAGTTTAACGTGACCTGGAAGAGAATCCATCAGGGTGGACCGAAGTGCGGCAGGAAAAAAAAAGTCGTACTGCTTGGCCAGTCATGGCATATATGAACCCAGAGGGAAGCACGTAGAGAGACGGTAGCATGACAGAGAGCAGAAGTGCCCAAACCGGTACCGAGGTGTGCCATACCTGAGAGGATATTGTCAGCCGACGGCGCTTGCGGAACCGCAAGATCGGCTCACCTCGACCACCACGACCATGAGAAGAAAAAAGACTACGAACGATATCCAGTACCACCAGTCGGGAACTTCTGGGTACTGTCTCATGAGTTTGGCATGAATATCGTCCTGCTCCACTCGAATCCTCTTTACGCCATTCCACAGGCTGCGGCCGTGGTACAAGATCGTATGTACGAGAACGCACGTCGACAATGCAAAGGCAAGGAGGTACGCCATTGCGTAGGTGGCCGGGAGGTAAAGGGGAGAGTAATCGTCATACGCCGTCTCGTTGAATCGATTCTGGCTGTCCAGCACACGGCTCACGTTGTAGACGTTGCCGTAACGGTCGTATGGATTATCGTCATTCATCGGGAAATAGGCGAGGTTCCATGTCTGCAAGGAGGCGGTGAGTACGGGCCACAGTGAATGTAAGCGAGAACGTACGTTGGTGTAATACATGATAGGCGTGACGATCCAGAAAAAGAGGACGAATCCGAGAAACATGTGAACTTGTGCCCACCACGGGAACATAAGGGGACTGCCTATCCATGCGATTTCTGTCCAGTCGAATGTTAGAACGCTCATACCCATCCCCGAGGAGACGCCAAAAAGCTGGTTGACCGGAATATTGTTCGGTAATATCCAACATATCCAGGAAAACACGGACAGTGCCTGGAAGAGATAACCTGAAGGGAGAGCCGTCAGTTAGCCCATCGAACGCCGACGGCGTGGAATCTCATGTCATACCCGGAATGAACCAGAAAAAGAAGGCGCCTCCCAAGACGTATAGGAAATAGCGGTAACGGGAGATCCCGCCTTGCTCCTCTTCCTCGGCATGAAGAGTGTTGAGCAGTGTGCATGTGACGAGGTTCTGAGGCCAGACCATGCTAGGTGGTTGAACGAGAAAGCGTCTACATATGCCGGCGAGACCGAAACCCGTAAGTTGTGTGGCGACAACGAGCAGTGCACTGAACCAGTAGCTGGCCTGGAAATTGTAGTTCATCTGTGCAACGACGATGGCGTTGATGGCGTAAGGAGTTCCTATGGATACGTTTGCCATGATGTATACCAATACGTGTTCCTTGATGTTCCATGGCCCTGGGTTAAGAGACAACTCGAAACCGCCCAACCAACGGGGGAAGCGATAAGTGGAGATGGGAAGAACGAATGCGAAGAACTTTCCCATGGGATAACCGATGACGACGAGAGCGAGAGGCGTGACGTTCGCAGCCGGTTGTCGGAAATTGAAGAAGACGTTCATAGACCTGGAAGGACGGAGATAGATGAAGATAAAATGGAGAAAATTGAATAAAAAAGAAGCCTTACCCGCCGACCAAACTGAGAAGGAGACCGATGATCCACATGCGGAGGGTCATGACGGGCATGTCTGGGTCATCAATATTTGAGACGGAAGCGCGTACTTCCGGAAAAGGACTGTCTTCTTCGTTGATGGCGTCAAAGTCAAACTCCATTCTAGTATGGAGGCATGAGAGAGAGAGATGTAGCACGAGAAGGAGTACACACTTTATCGAACCGTCTCGGCTGTCCTGTTCCAACATGCTCGGAGTCAGACTGAGTGTGGTGGTGTCTGGACCGATTGTGGAGGAGGGGTGTCGTTTTCGGGAAGGGATCTCCGAGTATTCGACTTCGAGGGACTTTTCCCGTGGACTGGAGGGGAGGTTGACGTGAATGTCGCGTGAGGATGTGCCGCTGGGTCTTGTTTCGGCAGTGCCAGTGCGAGGGTTGCTGAGTCTGCGCATGCGGTATGGGTCATGCGCGCCGCCCTGCTGTGAGGCAGTCGAGGGGGGGCTCTCTACGGGCTGACTGGAAATGGGAGGAGTGAAACGACTGGAAGGACCAGCGGCGTCCGCGGGGAAACGAGCGTAGGGGTCGAATGTGGGGGAGGGATAGGCGACAGGGGATGGATCTGCCGGGGGGAGCGCGTTTGCAAAGAGATGGGCGTAGTCGGGCGAGGGACTGAGGTGCTGCTGGAGGCTCGAGTCTCTCTGCTGATCTGCGGTGGAGGGGGCCAGGAAGGCGAAGAGGTCCCCGGCGTCGCTCTCGTCGTCTTCGTCGTCGTCCTCTGCGATGTATGTGTTGTGATCGTAGGGGGTGTCGTGATCGAAGGCGGGGGGGCCGGCAGTGCGAGGACGGCCAGCTGAGGTGACGGGTCTGTTGTTGGCCATGGCGGTCGGACCGGAGTGTTGTGGGCCAGTGCGGCGGGGCAGTCGCGGGGGGGAGTCGGGCGACGGACGGGAGAAGAGGGCGTCAGGGGGGTGTCGTAGCCGCAGTCGGCGTCGGCGTCGTCGTCGTCGAGGTCGACTTCGACGGACAGACAGGCTAGCGAGGACAGTGCAGAGGAGGGGGGGCAGGGAGAGCACACAGACTGGGACGGGTGAGAAGAAGTCTCTTTCAGGATCAGCGCTTGAACCAATCAGAACACTCTAAGGCACATCACAGCACACACAATGGATCCAATTATTTATATATTATTTATTATTCGCATCTGTGCCCCTGTTATTTCCTTATCTGGCCATCTCACCCCCCTCGGGACATCCCGGGCCTTGGGATCAGCCACGCTCTCGCCTCGCTCTCGTGCCTGGGCGACGGGATGACACAGTACACGAGCTCAACACACAGGCACACTCAAGACAGCGGCAAGACAGACAGACGCTCGTCTGATGTTCTCCCATCCCGCGTTCATCGCACCTCCCCCCGTTGGTGGCGTCAGTTCATGTCAGGCAACCAACACAGCCTCTGCACAAAACATACCTTAGTACATACGCCCCTCGACTTCTATGTCATCATCACCTCACGTCACCCATATCCAGATAGTGTGTGCATCCAGTAATGTATACAGTCGCCACACGCCCTCACTGATCCACAGGCCTGTCGCATGGCGTTTAGGAGTATGCGTATCACTGCGGTCAGTTGGACCGCCGCCGCGGACGGAATTAGAACGCACTAAGATCACCCTTAGATAACCAGCAAAAGAGAATGAGAGACTGCCTCAGCACAGAACACTGTCCACCCTTGCAGTCGCCTTTTCGATGAAGAAGAAAACGAGGTAGGCTTCTTGTCTCAGGCTGCAAGTCATGTACATAATCTGTGTCCGTCGCCCAGGCAGCAGCTGTCGATAAGACTAGACACCCCCCCCCACTGCCTCAAAACAGACCGTTTCGGAAAAGTCGCGAGGATCGAATCGCCACACCGCAGTGTTGGAGCCTGTGTGTGTGACATGGACGGTCGCCCGTGCACCGCCGGCCCCTGTACCCTTCCACTCAAAGAGCTCTTATCCCGCGAACATACATATCCACCCCTGGGTCTATTTACACACACAGAACGTGATCCAGTTGTGTGTTCCATACTCTTGGCTGTCTTCGAGACACTAAGCCTCGGTTCCATTCCAGAGTTGATCCGAATCGCAAGGCACGCCAGACCTTGCCGCGCTGTCGGACAAATTCATTTCCACCGGAAGCAACGTGTCCAAAGTCGTGTTGACAAGTCTTAATGAAAACTCTGCCATAGAGGCGGTCTCCGAGTATGTACACGAACAGGGTTTTTTGTTCACAGCCCTCACACGCTCAGGACCCAAATCGTCGGTACAAATCACAAGCTCCTCCATTGAATCACCATACACAATACAGAACAGAACCACGCTGTCGAAGAGAAGGTGGGGTCGTACTTCAATGGTGTGTATTCACGTTTTTCGGGCTTACCACTTGCCAATTCTGACGACCAACTTCTCCCCACCCGCATATGCAATCATTCCCGATAACACACTCCAAATCCTCCCTCCCCTCAAGTGCAGGGAGTTTCCTACTCTGGTCGACCTTTAAGCACCAGGTACTTAGCAGAATCCCAGCGACGTATCTCCCTTGAGTCGTGGTTTCATCATGGTAGATACTGGTACATATTAAGTACGAACAAAAATATCAATACGTCTCTAGATTGACCTCCCTTGACAGAACCTAACCCACTTGGTCGTGGTTCCGGAGTGCCGTAGAGACGTATTTTCGTTCCCCCCCCCCCTTTCTGGTCTGGGTGTAGCCGGACGGGGGCGTCAGGAACGAAGGGAACACCATTGATCCGTGCACGAACCATGTTGGCGGCGGAGAAACAGTTCAACAAGGTACGGATCTGTGTAATCGCAGACTACATGAAATACGTCTTCATTTGTGGAACTGCATTACATAGCCTCCCATGCCTCCGTCGACCACCTCTTTTGACACCGCCCTGGGACGCCGGATGCAGGCTCTACTACTCTCTGCCATTTGGCCAGTGATGCCGTGCCCTGTACCATGGGGTGCTCCCAACTTCCAAGGACGAGGAGCATCACTTCTGCAATGACACACACGTGACATGCCCTACAATTCTCCCACCTTGGCACGTACACGTTCGTGCACCTCTCTTGATATGACCCCCCTGAGCATATGACACAACGTCTCAACAGTCTGACATACTCCCAGAATCGGACCGAATTCGTCCTTACGCTTTCAAATGCATGTGATGGAAGGTCGTCAGCAACGGCAAACTCGAAAAGCTGCGGAGTTCGCTTAATTTGTTCCCCGAATGGCCTGCCAACGGGCAGTCACGACTTCACCATCTGACAGACTCGAAGGGGAATTCATTTTACATTTCTGTGTGACGATAGTGCGGCATGCTTCAGATTGGCATTCTCGACCCCACCTCTGCCCATCGCCCTGTGCACTCGACTACGGCCGACGAACCAGGTGCTACACCAGAATACCAGCGTATCGCAATCCTTGATGCTGACCGGAGGTGGTATGTACCGTGGATACGAGCAAACGAAATTTTTACCCTCGCTTTCAACCGAAGAGATCGCACCGGCCTAATGTATGTCTCTCAAATATCTGCTGGTACAACAAATTAACATATGGCTAGCACATCGACTTCAAGGAACGGATCTGTCTCTGTGACTCCTCGGGCTATATACAACAGCTCCTCAAATCTGATTGGCGCCCTAACCATCACCAAGGTTCTTTTCATTTTGAAATCCTTGGGAGACAACTAGCAAAAACTCGCTATAATTTTTGCGATTAGTGGGTACCGCTGAATTGACAGCATGTATGTACCGTATATCAATATCGGTACTAGACGGAACAGGTGATCCCTGACTCATCATCAGATCACGCCAGCTATGAACCAGCGGCTGGACTGGCTCGCATGCTATAACTCTTTTCCGCTGTTGGAACAGAATCGACCCCTCTTACTATGACGGTACACGGGCCACCAGAGGGCTTACATTCTTAGAAGTTCGTATTGCTGTCATCTGACTTAAGCACCTATCGACATTATCTTCCATGTAGATGCTGTCTAAAATGGCGTTTAACCCACATTTCCCCCCCTCCCCAGCACCGGTTATGAGTGCTCAAGGATCTCTCCTCTTACGCTCAACCCCCCATGTATATCTCAACTACCTCAACCCAGACGAAACAAGCAAGTTCCGGGTTCACCGGGAACATCGACTTAGTGACACGAGGCATATATGTATGTTCAACGCCGTGGACAGTACAGATCACTCGCTGCCTACGACTTCTCTGACCTAAGTTCGGAAAAGGCACTGACCCGGGAAACATTCCAACCTCCCCAATGGCGATAGGTTGATATTTGCATTTTTTTTGTGGCGAGGCGAGAGATTCAATATTTGTCACGACTTCGCTGCTGATCTCTCCACAAACCATCTGTGCCTCAGCTATGGTTATCCTTGTTGTCCTGCAGAAGTGTTTCCCTCAGCATTCAGAATGAACTTGGACCCCCCTAAGTAGTGAGGACTTGCGTCTGCAGCTAGCCCGGTCCCCCAAACCCACACATTTATTGCCATGACTTTTGTGGCCTCCCAGGTCATATTATATCGCTGGCGGCTACTTCTTTCCTCTTCCTCGAGCATACCCACGCCGCCTACTGTGACAATCGTCCCAAAGAAAGCCAGATAATTTTTTGGACATTATCATCTGACACGTCTTCAACTTCCTTTGGGTTATCGAAGTCTGCATTTCCTGTGCAGCTGTACCCTGCATAATTTCCATGAAATTGCCAACACCAAAAAAACCGTGTCTGGCGACCATTCTGTCCATTGGCTTTACGGATCCTGTTCTTTTCGACATCCTTCTCTATTTCACCTCCGCTCGTGTACATAACAAGATCCTATCCACTCGCCAGAAAGGGCCAGAAGAACGATCAGTGGGGGACTTTCAGCCATGCGGGAATAGCCTCCCACCCTTATCCTTATCGCATGCTGTGCCTCACAGATCCCTAAGCAAATCTGGTTATCTCTGCATGAACACCCCATAAGAAACCAGGGCACGATCATTACTGATGTTAACACGGCGACCTTCCTCGTGTTCAGCGCCATCCCGTTGATCGGAGCCCTGAATGAAATGTCGGGAGGGTTGCGTGCCAGCCCGAGTTGAGGATACCGAGTTTTTGCGGATCCAACACGCACGGCGGAGGTATCGCTGCCAAGGGAAGCGGGGACTATAATATCACCGGAGGTAAAATCCGATGGTCAGGGCGAGTGGACTGAGGTCGGCGAGAAAGTTTGACCCTCTCCGGTGGAGTATGGGGGTCAGGGATAGGAGCAAGGAAAACAGCCACATGTTAGTCAGCACCGATAGAGTTACAGACTCGAGGCACGTGACCTCACAGCAGACTACGACGACCGTTAGTACAGGTGAGGGTAGTCCTACTGGACCAATTCTCGTGGCACGATGGTTTTGCCTTTACTATATTGGCTACCGGGCCAACGTTCTCACTCCTAGTTCCCACGACGTATGGTTCACAAGTATATCAGTTTACACAAGCCTTTACATGCTTAGTGGGGACTGAACCAGGACAAAGTACCGGCCAGGAGGTAACTTCTGGACTACAGTAACCTCCAGTCCAGTACTCTGTTCTCTGTTCATCGAGACGAATGAGGTCTCCTGAACTCAGCGGCCCTGGATACGAACTTTCCTCCGACGCACAGTCACTGGCACGACACCAGTCTCTGTCAAGTGCAATGAATGCCATCAGCATCTCACATGTGCCCCAAGGCGATGGCCGCCGCTAGCCAGGGAGGGGCTCTTCCAGAGTATTGCACAAGTCGGGATTTGCATCGATTCATGCCTTTGTTGCTGCTTTATAGCTAATCACCTGTTACCTATAGACTTCAACCCATCGCATTATTACGCCGGGAACCCCGAAGCGCTCAACCCGGGTGACTGTAAGATTCACTGTAGCAAAAGTGGCGTCCTGTACTGGCAACCATAGCGTGCAAGTTGGAGACAGGTGGTTATGTTGCTCAGCCGACGATGCGTGATAGATGACAAATGATGTCTCTATAGTAGTATGCTCAAGTCTACACATCTCCGGTTGTGCTAGGCAAACCCTATGAAGTGAAGTTCTATAAGTATCATGCTATATTCTCCATAAGATTGTTGTAAATAGTGTCTGCGTCAGACGAACGCTCGTATCGCCTTCTACCCTCGTGCAAGACGAAGGCGCTGGCAGCCAACAACAGGAGTGTTGTCATGTCTCCTCGACCAAGTGCTTCCGTTTGGAAAATGGCCTGCATGAACGGAACGTACACCAGCGCCAGCTGCACAAGTAACGAGACGGACACAGTCGACAAGAGCATACGGTTTTGGAATAACCCGCAACCAAGCCCTCGGTTCTGTATCGCTGAGACTAGGTCGAGGAAGACGAAACACGTAAAAGTCTGATATACAACTGCTTAGCATCTCAATGATGACCACTGATGTATTTTCTTACCATGGTTTGTTCCCTCCTCGAGACCTGCTCGTCGCCTAACGCTTTGAAGTAGACAAACAGGGTGCCCATGACAATCGTGCTCGCAGAGAAGATGACGCGGTATAGCAAGCGCCGGGTTAGGATGGGCTCGTTCTTCTTTCTTGGGAGTTTTCGCATGACAGCTGGATCCACTGGATCAACACCCAACGATTGACTTGGGGGACCTGTTCATAGCATCACGAATCTCCGACAGGTCGAAGAGAATTATTAACTGACCGTCCATAAGAATGTTGATAAATAATATTTGCATAGCGTTGAGCGGGTTGCTGTATCCAAAAACCATACTAAGGGTTATTAGTGACAGTGCGGCAGCAGCGGTACTAAGTTGAAAAGATAAGAAGTTCTGGATGTTATGAAATATAGATTTTCCTGGGAAGCAATTGCAATTATGGACGTGTACTTTTGGAAATGTTGGCTTGCCTTACCTTCTTCTACTGCAGGCAAAATGGTGCTGAAATTATCGTCTACGAGGATCATGTCCGCAGCTTCCTTGGCTACATCAGTGCCACTCTTTCCCATCGACACGCCAATATCAGCCATCTTTAACGCCGGGGCATCGTTAACTGTCGCAGAAGCGCGCCAGGAAAGGGTTAGACGTCTCGTATCCGACAACAAACGTAAACGCACCGCCATCCCCAGTCATCGCGACAACAGCACCCCGACTCTGGAAAGCCTCGACGATAGCCATTTTGTGACGCGGTGTCGTGCGGGCAAATACGCTGATGCTGCCGACACGTTCAACAAGCTGGGACTTGCTCATCATATCGATATCCTTCCCCGTTAAACAGTAGCGATCTAATTGCCCGTGGGCCAAACCCACCCGAAGACCCAGGTCCTGTGCAATGGCAAGTGCAGTCTCTTTTGCATCGCCGGTAATCATGACCACCTGAACCCCACCCGACTGGAGCAGACCGATTGCATCTTTAACACCTTTCCTTGGTGGGTCTAACATCGCCTGGAAACCGACGAATATCAGGTTTGCCTTTTCTCCATCTGGCGAGGGCGGGCGTGTAGTTGGCAAGCTCGAGGGAGCTCGCGAATTGTGCAAAGACGATCCTGCATCTCCCTTCGTGGAGTCCATGGATCCATAGCCGTATGCCATGGCGAGCACTCGCAAGCCTCTTGAAGCAGTACTCTGAGCTCTCATGAGAATGATGTTACGCGTGTTAGCGTCCAGGGGAGGTGTGGAGCCTTCTGAGACATAATAAAATCTACACCTGTCCAGCACGGCATCGATGGAGCCCTTCATATAGTAGGTCTCCCGCTCCCGCAAATGCACGCCATGATAGGCACTCTGGGTGTGCACTCCGCTGACAGCCATGTATTTATGCTCAGAGTTGAAGGGTCGTTCAGAGTGGCGAGTAAATGTCTGCGAAAGAGTGTATGCTTTATCATGGTCTAGCGACGTGTTCACTGTACTTACATGTCGTTGGTCATGGAGATTAAATGTCGACAAGACATTCAACAAAGCTACATCTGTAGATTGACCAACATAAACACCGTGTTCATCCCTGGAGAGAGACGCATTATTGCATATTGAACCTATCTCCAGGGTTTTCCGGACGGCAGGTGAAGGTTGCAGGGAAGGCACCACGCTATCAACATGGACATGGTCGTCTACGACGTAGATTTCCGTCACCGTTTGTTCGTTCTTTGTTAATGTACCTGTGCAAAGGTATGAGACAGAGTTCCTTTTCTATAATATGCCAATACTCGCACCTGTCTTATCAGAACATATGACAGAAACGGAACCAAGTGCCTCGACAGAATGAAGCCTTTTCACGATGGCCTTACGCTTTGCCATCCGTAGCACTCCAAGTGCAAGCGTAACCGTCGTAACGATGGGCAGCCCTTCAGGTATAGCGGCCACAGCCAGAGACACTATACTCCAGGTTCAGAGCGACGAAAGAACGTGCAGAGTCTGAAGCTCACATACCTCCGATGGTAAACATATCTAACCACGGTCGATGCTGCCATACACCAATTAAGCATATGACACCAATGATACCAAAAGACAACATCGAGAGCTTCTTAGCTAATTCATCCATGTTGAGTTGGAGTGGAGTACGCTTTTCTTCCACCTAGACATGAGAACTGTGAGTGGCCCAACGAGGTTCACTTTTAGTGGCGATATACAAACATCTTGCATCATGGAAAAGATCACACCAAACTCCGTCTCGGTGCCGGTGGCAATAACAATGCCCCTACCTCGCCCTTAGACCAGATATAATTGAGCAAAAAGCGATTGGCATACAGAGGACCTACCATTCCGCACTAGTGTTCCCATGTAGGCAATGCAGGATCTCTCAGCAAGGGATACAGATTCCCGTTTGTCCGCCCCATTGCCGACATCCTCCGCACTATCTCCGAAAGAGTCGGTATTCTTCCAATCACAAGGGTAAGAGCTCTTGAGACGAGGAGTAGTTTCGCCCGTCAAACTACTTTCGTCTATCTCAAGGTCAACAGCAGACATGATGCGGATATCGGCGGGCACGCGATCTCCAGTGGCGAGCTTAACGATGTCACCGGGTACCAGGTCGTTCGCTAGAATGTGCACCTCTCGCTCATCACTGGAAGAGAAGTTTAGGATGTAATGGAGTCCACTTGTGAAACAAGCCTTGCCGAATGACATGACAGTGATGGGGAACGAGCTTGTTCAATGCTTCCAAACTTTTCTCGGACCGTTGTTCCTGCACAAACCCAACTTTGGAACGCAATTGTAAATCAGTATTGCGAATGAAACGTCGCGAATATCTTTACCAGTCAAGACGATTGCCACAGCAACGGTAATACTGATAGCATCGTCGATATTCCCCATGAATGCGCTGATCATGGCACTGGCACAAAGGAGCAGAATGAGTGGACTCTCGTACACATTTTTTGCAAACTTCAAGATAGCGGGCTCAGGTGTCGAAACGGAGAATTCGTTGTATCCATGCACTTCTTGCAAGGCCAAGATGGAAGATGCCGAGAGGCCAGCATGGATCGATGAGCGGAAGTGCGCAACCGTATCCTGTTCAAGCATGGTCAGGAAATTTCCAAATAAGGAATATTCCAAGAACGGTTGCAATAACGTAACATGGATTTTCTACATAGAAAACAGGGGTGTCCAGAATGGGACAGCCATAGCAATGAAAAGGGCATGTGGGTACGTGTCGGAACGACATTTTAACGCGCCAACCTCACCAAACAAGACGCACCTCTACGGACCAGTGGGCAAAACGCGCGGAAGGCGTTTCCCTGCGTCGCTCCCGCTGAAGGGCTTGCGGATCTCGGTCGATGAGGACGTGAGTCTCTTCCAGATTATCGTCGTACGAACGTCGACCGGTCACGAACTTGACAATTCTTTGCCATAGTCCGTCCGCTGTGACTCCGGGGGGTAATTTTGGGGGCAATGGTATACTGAGGTTGTGTTCGTGATGATGTCTCCGGAGAGTCGTGCTGTATGCAAAATGTGTTGAGGCACCTGGCGCAGGTTGCGGTTCGCCATTTTGTGAGGCTGAGACGGTCGGAAAGTAGCTTGATGCGGGTGGTGAGGACGGTCGGAGTGGAGTTTGGGCTTGGCTAGATGGTGCTACGAACGTAGGCAAAATGGAATGAGCGGAAGTTGAGACCATGGAAGGCTCCGGTATAGTAGACAACTCGGCGATGTCTGGCATTGTAGTCGCGGCGTTGTGGATATGAGAGAGCCTGAGTTGACTGGAAGCAGTGCGTCGATTTTTGGACATAGCAAATAACCAGCCCACGGGCGCTCTAGGATGAAGTTCGCGGTCGTAGACGGAGCCGAATAACTTGGTGGACCACGATCCCTTGTATCCTGGACGATCTCGCGTTAGTTCACCAATACGGTACGTTGGACACTCCTGCCGTCGCTGCCCAGTAAGGATGACAGAGGTATTTTCGGGTCACGTGGCGGAAGGCACAGCCTCAAGAGTTAAAAAACATCGACTTCGGAGACATTCATCATGTTAGGGCATTGGCAAATATACATGCTGTGGCTGTATGCAATGAACATAGGTAAATAATACCGTGTACATGACCGTGGACTATCGGGAATTATACAGTAGAAATGTTCATAATGCATAATGCATGTGTGGATACTAGACACTTGTTGGCTCTATCAGTATGACGGTACTCCGCCAACCTAGTGCATACCCCACTTAGGCAGCATCGTAGCCCCTCCTAGGACAAACTCGCTCGACGTGGCGTTGGACTGCGTCCGAACGAGAGAAAAGCTTCTTGCATTCCGGGCACTCCCATCTTATGTTCATATGGGTCATGACATGACGCGCCAGATTCTCCCGTCTCATAGGCCGTGTCCTTGTGCAACCCTCCCAAAGACAGGTCACTGTCCGGACGTCATCCCCGACCCGATGATACGCACCCAGATGGCTCTCGATCCCAGCTCTGCTCCCGGTGACAGAGGACGGGCAAGAAGTATTGTCGGTGTCCCAGCGACATGAACGGAGGTTGCTCTGCCTGTGCCGACCCGGTACGGAACGCTCAATATTTCCAATGATGTCCGGAGAGGAACAATAGTTGCGGCTAGCCGGTGGAGACACAGGAGGTGTGAAGTAAGGGTGTGGTCGAGGCGGGTGATATGATGGACTTCGTGTCTCGCGTGAGATATTTGAAGCATACGAGCTACGGCCTATGCGAGCAACTGAACCAGAAGGAGGTGTAGATTCGAGACTGGGCTCTCCGACTATCGGTAGGCCAATACATTCCAGCTGGTAGACCTCCGGCAAAGGTCTGCGGCGCCGGTCGCTGACCACAGGGAGCCAAGCTGAGCATGTCTGGTACAACAGAGGGGCAGGAACCAGGAAGGCTAGGGGGGCCCTGGGGAACCGTAAATCGCCCTTCAGCAAGCAACGAGGGCGATATTCCCAGCCGTTCCACTTGAGTCGCGACGGCTTGGTTATCTCGATGCGTGGTGGGATGTGGGAAACTGGGACTTCCCTGCCCATAACGAAATGTGTGGTCGTGGGAGTTGCGTCTCGACATTGCCGAAGTGGAAGTGATGAACAAGGAGGGTCGAGTGGAAGAGAACACTCAGCTAGGTTTATATACCAAAAAGGATATTGCGACGCAGCCAACCATGCAAGCAGCATGGGGTATTGGCGTCGATGTGTGTGCACTGCGAGATATCCATTTAGCAACTGGTGCTTGGAGTCAGCATGCCCATTACCAATCCCCGTGCGCCATACAGGAAGGGGGTTTTGAGATGGCATCATGGCAAAAAAGGCCCGATTGATCCCATTTAATGTGATCTTCTCGCCTGGAGACCAACGGCACTTGGGGGAAAAAAAAATACTCGCGTCAGCCATGACGTTCTTGCCCTGTGGGCAACCAACTAGTCTTGTGGTCCAGGTCATCTCCTGCTCTATGACATCCATGAGTTGCTGCTAAGAAAAGCACTCTCCATTAATTAAGCTGCAGAGTTAGTCGCCTGAGGTGGTGTGTTTGTGATATCAGGCACTAACCTACGGACCGGGCGCATCCATATGTCCAGGAAAGTCAATGATCCAATCCTTCACCTCGCGGTGGTTGATACCACGATATGCGGAACGTTGATTCATGAACAAACCGAAACGCAACAGGAACGTTTCTGTTATCAAAACGCACAGCAATTGAGCATATACGTTCATAAGCTAAGGCAAATGCCGTGGGCACTCCGGTGCCAACGACCCGTCCAGTAATGGAAGCCCCGATTGGCATCGGAGGTCCGTTTCGGTTGGACCTTCGTTATGCAATTATGACCACACGAGTCGTCCTCCTCCGTAAAACACTAGTGCGACTTGGAGTTGGATATGAATCATTTTTTGCAGTTAGAGTATTGAATCAAATCATGTACGGCTTGTCCATGTGGCAGATTAACACCAGACTCACCTTTGAAAGTTTGTCGAGTGTTTGTCTGCATTAATCTTGTAGAGAAGGCCTGGTTCCCACGAGGTGCAGTTGAGTGTCTAAAGTGAAGTAACAGTAAGACGAACTCTCACTTGCAAGTCTAGATGAGTTCAACCAACCAGGACGATCCACCTGGCAGGGATCGTGGGTACTCCAGATCGGAACACAAGGACTACAAGCACACTCAGTCTCCCGCGAGGAGAGCCGGCGACCCGTCCAGACGGCACGAGCGCTCTCCTCATTACCGGCCACGGTCCTCAAAATACGCGCACAGACAGTCTAGGTCTAGGTCCCGTAGCCCAAAATACAGGAGGCGACGATCTTACTCTCCCTGCGAATCTCGCTCTCGCAGTCCAGCCCCTAATCGTCGCAGATCCTACTCCTATTCCCGCTCTCGTTCTCACTCCCCCATTCACGCCCACAGACAGCGAAGACCGCGCTCTCGTTCTCAAAGTCGCTCGCGGTCGCGCTCTCCGGACAGAAATAGGCTTAAGAACAAGAAAGACAAACGCAGGAGGTCTCGGTCACTCTCATCATCCAATTCGGATCCTGATTCACGGCCTGAACGCAATCGCCATAAAAAAAAGAAGCATAGGACCCACGAAGAGAAAGAGCGTCGGAGGAGAGAGAAAAAGGAGAAAAAAGTAAGATATGGGCCGAAACTACTCGGACTTTCTAACTGTATATATCGTAGAAGAAGAAACAGGCAACTGGGAGCTCCAGCGCACATTGGGGAAAATATGGTGTTATCTCGGAGGCAGAGTGAGGGTGGTTGTCCCTTGTCAAGTCGACCTCACTGCACTAATCAGCAGCTTTTATAACAAAACCCAGGAATTCAGAACCTGGCTTCTCGAGGAGCGAAAACTCAATCCAGAAGTTCTCACCAAGGATCAGGAGCGCAAAGAGTTCCAAGTGTTTGTAGAAGACTATAACACAGGTATGCTGATTAGTTGCCGGGCATTAATCGGCAGGCTAACACACTCCAGCGACGCTTCCTCACGAAAAATATTATCACATCGAAGCCTATGAGCGCCGCATGGCTGCACTTCGCGCCGGCGAATTCGTCCCTCCGCCTGATGATGGGTACGATCCTACAGCAGACATGAAAGCGCACGCAACACAGCACAAGAAGCCATCTACTGAACATGATAGCTATCTCAGCCGGGAGCAGCTTATGGAACTACGTAAAGTTCAAAATGAACGAATCGAGGTTTGGGGTTATCGGCCTGTGTTGTGGTGACTTCTCATTACATTTTTCACAGATCGGTAGAATGAAGCGTTTAGGTATGGACATCAAGCAAAACATGGGCGTCAGGATGGATAGTACCATGTTTGATGGCTAGGTCACGCTGTCTAATACATACACATACCATCGCATCATTTTGGATTGCTAGCATGTGTAGTTGGGGTGGCGAGGCAGGTGTGGAGGCTGCAGCCGTTGGAGTCTCCACGTGCCAGACGACGGACCGCCCAACAACTGGCTGTGTTGGTCCTTGAAACGTTACCCTGTACAGTAGGCTTGCAACCCACTCCCTTCGTCAATACTGGCACCATGCTCGATATCCTGTTGTTGGGCGCGACCGGTAAGCAATGCGAGTCGTGGTATGGCGGAATGAGCCTGACTTGAATGACGGTAATTGTACGACCGATACTACAGGCTATACTGGACGCCTCATCACAAGATACCTAGCGACACACCCACAGCGTGGAACGTTCACCTTTGGCATCGCGGCACGCTCAGAACAAAAGTTTGAGACGCTCCGTGATGAATTGGGCGATGCTCTTCTGCACGTTCCAACGTTTGTTGTAGACGTTGCCAACTTTGATGATATCGAGAGAGCCGTCCAACAAGCTCGTGTTGTGATCAATGCCGTCGGACCGTACTGGCGCTGGGGCACATCGGTCGTGCGAGCCTGCGTGCGCCACGGCAGGCACTACGTTGACCTAACGGGCGAAGCCCCGTGGGTTCGGCAAGTCATTTCTGAGTAGGCGGCATATTGCCATAGCACTGCGGGTGGAGCACTGAGATCAGTGCAGGTTTGACTATGTCGCTGCCAAGGCAGGCTCCGTGATTGTTCCCTGCGCCGGGTTGGACTCCGTACCTTCCGACCTCCTAGTATACGTTGCAAGTAAGACCCTCAAGTCCTTCGCAGGTCCACAAACCGCAATCGACACATCCACATCCGCGTGGAAACTCAGCAGTTCGGGTATTTCCGGAGGAACGTTTTCCTCCATTCTTTCCATTTTGGAAGATATACCTCGACACAAGGCCCGGGAAGCCACGCACGACTTCGCGCTTAGTCCCAGTAAGGCCATTCTTTGACATTAATGAAGCGAGTGTTTCACTTGTACTTTTCAATTTGAAGTCAAAGGCGTACCCAGTCCCCGCCCTCGGACATTTTACGCTCTGTCTGTTGACCCCCCTCTGCGGGGGGTACTGTACCTCATGTCAGTTGTAAACAGGCAGGTGGTGCAGCGTTCTTGGGGCTTATTCGAGCTCGCTGGGCGAAGTCCGGAATTGGTATTCCCGCCAGGATCGTTCGGCCCGCAAGATGTATCTGGGCTATCTTATGGTCCTGCTTTCAAGTACGACGAGTTTATGGTCCTCCCAAGCATGCTGCACGCAGTGTTTGTAGTGTTCTTTTTAGCCACCGTGGCACTTGCCATGGCCACATTCCCGCCTGTTAGTATTTCGTTTCTTTCGATATGGCTCACATTCACCCATCTTTCACATTACAAGGCTCGATGGCTGGCTCGTAAATTGATGCCGCAGTCGGGAGAAGGACCGAATGATTTGTGACTAGGTCGCTCCTTCATTGACAATGGCACACAACTAATAGCTAGGCACAGGGATCTTGAGACTGGTTCTGTCCATATCACCAATATTACCACTTCTGCCCCAGCCGCCAACGGTCGCACAGTCACAGTACGCACAACTTTTAAAGGCAAAGGGGACCCCGGATATCTGCTGTCGTCTGGTATGTATTCTTTTTGGTTTGTCTCTAGAAATCTTGTCCGTGGCATGATAAATCACTTGCAGTTATGATTTCGGAAGCTGCTTTGGCATTGGTGCAGGACAAGAACCTCTTACCGCCCTTTGCAAAAAGGGGCGGTGTATTAACACCAATGACCGCTTTCGGAGACGTTCTGATTCAACGTTTGAATGCTTGTGGTCGTATCAGTATAGAAAGCGACGTGGTTCCGGTGGAGGGTGGGAGAATGAAGGTCCTTTGAGGAGTATTCGTGCACATGCCAATTTTGTTCGTGCTGCGACGAGTGCGTTGACTCCACGTTGATTCTGCATTATGTCATTTCCCTATGTATTCACCAAGTGCCTTATTTACTCACAGGGTCCACATCCAGTTATCTGCCTATCACATAGTGGTAACGGTGTTCCGTCCGTTGGTGGCGTTGACCAAATTTTGAGACCTTGGGATGAATTGCTTCCCCTAAGCGCTCAAGCGCTCAATTCTCGCAGTAGGGCTGCCACTGTGAAGAGCCCATTTGGAGGCCACCATAGCGCCCACGCACCCCGGCGGAGACGGTCCTTGATCTCACAGTGCAGAGGCGCCCCGTCAGACATTTGCTACATGAGGTCGTTACGGACCGAGCGAACTTCGATGTTAATGGCGTTGGAGTGTTAATCCCGGGTGTGAGACTTGCGTGATCGACACAAAGACGGGTGCTTAGTCGGATAAGTACTGGAATGACTTCGAGAAAGCTAAGGACTCATTGGTCTAGTTACGGTGTTAACCTATCAAAGTTCTACTAGAACTATTTGCTATCACGTAGCTCCCTTCTTTGATAGTGCTCGCCGGGCTGGTGAATGCCTTCCGTATGGATTCAGTCCTCTTAATAGCAGAAAGGCAAGGTAAAACGCGACATCAGTACGAAGTCGTAGATATCCCGAGGTGAAAGAAATAAAGCAATCCCCTGAGAAACCACTGGTGTATGATTCCTTCGAGTTTGTTCTGCAATAGTTCGTTGTGTGATCGATGGGTCCGCAACACAGTAGTAGTAGTCGTGTCCATTGAGGTTCCGCACGGATGCTGGTATAAATCCGGGAGGTAGAGAAGCTTTGCAGAAAGTTGAATATTTCGCGTTGTCTCTTGTCCGCGAGACCGTCAATTGTCGCACGATGACTAGAAATTGGACCATTGTCCAGGTCAACACCGACTGAATGACTATACTTGAAGCTTGAAGGTGGGAATATCATTAATATAGTTGGTACTATGTATCCTCGTGTGAGAACGACGGTCGACTCCGAAGTTGAGCAACTCCTTCAGAGACCATCCACCAGTTCATCTAGTACACCCACGATACGTGCATGTTCCATCGGGTTTGCAGGCACATGATGGTTGGGTAGTTTTTGAGATCGATCGCTAGCGAACCTGCTAAACCTACGTCAACAGACTCATAAGCATCCTTGATCAACTGCCGGAAGAAAACAACGTAACTAATTGGCAGCCCTCCTGGTACTCTCTCAAGCCAAACTTACGAACAAGAGTGGCTATCGAGCCTCGACAGTTTACAAAACCCAACACCTACCACAGATTTTCGACCAGGAGGTGGACGTAGTCCGTCTCTGCAACACTCGCTGCAGCAAGGGACGCACCTCACCGGTCAACCCTCTATGCCGTAAACTGTACCTCCAAATCATACGGATCAACTCGAGGTATGTGACGCTTTGGCCGCGGTTTTTCCCAATTCCCTACAAGCTGGCACCACAATCTACCAGGGTCACCAAGGTATGTAGTTGTGGGCGCCACTGACTGTGAAGGTGAAAATGATACGCCCCGAACGGGCCCAATTTCTGAATGCTTTTGCGCCGGACTAGAACCAACACAGGTTGAAGTTACAGAGCTCAGTTCTGGTCCGATGAATTCGGTGCTTGACGGGCACGATACAGGCCATATTTGACACCTGGCAAGGAATGGTCGATATTCAATACGCAATCTCGAACGATGAGTGCTCATGTGGCTGATTATAGGATCAAACTCGGCAGCAGCCCGAGCAGGAGCTCCACGTGCCTTTGGAGAGGTTTTTCTTTCTTTTTGTTACAGGCTTGCGATAGCACAGACTGCCCGGTGAACAGAGAGTCTTGGGTCAATACATGTCTGGATCTGGTTGGTGCGTATGTACTTCGCGAGGTGACACCTGAATTCGCCCGAGGTGTAGATATGGTCAAACTCAACCTTAGTGATGTCTAAACTCTTCTGATGGCATTCAGCAAATGGGGGAGTTCCCATCGCTCTTGCACCATGTTTTTATATCCCTCGGAGGTTGCGCGGCGCCATTGACAGCACATGTGTTCAGTTATGATACCGGTATGTATGTCGGTTTCCGACAAGCTGCCTGTCCGCAATGTCTCCCTCCCAGGTTCCCCGCCCCGTCCATGTCTTGTCCCCTGACCTTGTCAGTGTACTCAAGAATCGCGTAGAGGCTACAATGCTAGCTATCATCAAGAAGAATAGACACACCCGTTGCTTTTCCGAATCTCCTGCCTTTGCGGCATTTCACAGTGCGATACGCAATTTTGGGAGGGAGGATAACGACGGCATTTCGGATGATATCCTTCTGGATACCTTTCGCACTACAATCTCGTTAACGACCTACGACTCTTACGAGCTTTTCGTGGCCAAATTCCTTTCAGAAACTTGTCAGGAGGACGATGTTCGAGATATGTTCTCGCCTGGTTTGCCTTACCACATAGCGGTCACGAGCTCGACCTCGAGTCCAAAGCCAAAGTTTTTCTGCCAGTACCTACACGAAGGCTCAATGCGCTATGGCGGTGGTAACGGAGAAGAGACCTTCTGGACCTTTTCTCTCTACTACCGTCAGTGAAAATCCAAAATCGCAATGGTGACCTCATTAGGACAATCCCTGTTGCAATGGGGTCTTTTGAGACGGTCCGTCTGCGGAATGGTTTGAAAGTGGAAAATGATCACTTGAATATCATATTAGCGGGTATGTCTCGTCACTCCAAGCTCGGATGTTTTCATTTTACCGTGAAACTGTCGTTCAGCAGGAGAGTGGGTCACCTCTCCGGTTGCTGTCGGTTTCATCCGCGAGTATCGCACATTCCTACTCATGCACACACTCTTCGCACTCGCACATAGCAAGGTTGAGACGATATTTATAGTTTTTACTACGTCCGCAGTCGATATGATACGGTATATGGAAGAAGAGTGGGAAAGCCTGGTTGCTTCCATTGAGACAGGTGAACTTCCCCCCTGGGATGGGATCAATGACGTCCGGGAATACCTTCCATTTTCCTCCATGTCTGGAGTGCGCTGCACAACTTCGTGCAGTCGGTAAACCAACGGATCAACCTGGTTGGCTGTTAAAAATTTGGCCGATGCTCAAGAGCGTCATTTCCATCGGTAGCGGTGTTTTCTCTGTTGCGGTTCCCAAAGTCAGCTTCATTACATAGACCAGCATCCTCACGCTTAGCTATTGCATTAGTTGCGATTCCACTTGGGCTCCGACGTGCAGTTGCGCAGCCTTGGGTTTCATAGTTCAAAAACCCACGTTGCTACAGTCTACGACCCTTCAGATTTGAACCTTTTCAAAGCAACATCACAAGACATCATCGAATACTTTGACGTGACCAAGGAGGAAAATGCGTCTAGTATTGTACCCCCTGTAGGCTTGCCCTCCTTTCTTTTATCCGGTCCGATCTGATTCAAAGGAAAGTGGCTAGTTGAGATCGGGAAACATTACGAGGTCGTGTGCACCACCCACGACGGATTGTGGCGCTACCGTCTTGGAGATATTGTCGAAATTGCAGGTTTTGATCCGACTGACGGCTCACCTATCATATGCGTTACTTTGAACGATGAAGGCAAGTATGCTCATAACTTCGCTGCGTTTCTTGACTAAAGGAAATGAGTAGCGTCATTACGTGGATGGCAGGGGGTGCGCTGACCGAAAGGCATATCACCGCTGCAATCTTAGCAGTGCAAGATACTCTTGCCCCGATAGTTGAATTCACCGCCATCATCGATAGTCATAGCGGGATTCCCACCCTTGGATGTTTCGTCGAAGTTCATGGCGAACTTCATACGTGATTAACATCTTCCAATTAATTCATGACGATTCTTACTACCACCAACTTCAAAGATCATGAGGCCACCAAAGCCCCCGCGAAGCTACAAAACGAACTTTGCCGCCTAAACGAGTTTGATCCACAGAGAATGCAGATACCGATCATCTGAGTCTTGGGGCCCGGAACGTTTGGGGAGTACAAACGATGGAGAATTGAAGTGACCAGCTCTGGTTCCGGACAAGGCAAGGTCCCTGTGTTGATGAAGGACAATGCAGCCCAAGAGTAGATGTTAGCGAGAGTCCGGAGAGAATTGGGTGTGGACTGGAACGGTGAAGCCTTGCAAGGCTGACTGCGAGATGGGATAAGGCTATCGATACTATCCTGAGGACAGGTAGACAACCCATGCCGCGTCCGTTGACCAACGTGTTTGTAATACATGTGCCGCGAGCAAAAGCTTTTGAGGATGTACATGGCACTCGAATGGAATGATTATAGCAGAGCTCCCCGAACTGCAGAGGTTGTCCATGCTGAGAATCGATTACTACGATCTCTTCCACAAGGTTTTGTATATCGGATAATCCTGGAAAGTGGTGGAAGAGGTAGCCTTGTATCCGACAGTAAATCATCTGCTTCTCCTTGTCCTTTCCCGAGTCAATTCGGACTGAATACTCATCTCAAGTTCGAGGCATAAGTTGTAGGTGCTGGTAGTATGGAAATTGTCTTGTAGCCCAAAAGGGAGCTCAGCTAGAAGTGCAGACGTGGTCTTTTGGCACTGGGAAGTGTAGCCCGCCTTGTGGTCCATGACTAATAGCCTCTTCTGCCTCGTCAGGCACGCGCCTTCCTGACATCTAACAGTACAGCCAAGGATCCCGAACCGCCTTCGCCTTCACAGTCGGTGACACCGACTCAACTACCTAGTGATCCGGGTAAGCTGTGATGAGCCTGCAGAGAATGGGGAGAAACCGCAATCAAAGTATCATATACCTCGAGACTCGAGTTGATCCGTACAAATTAGAGGTCCGGTTTACAGTATAGAGGTTCGAAACCGCGTATCCATACCGCATGCTATGGAGGTCGCCCCTCGTTGGAGTGCCTGTGCCTCCTAATAGGCCTCATACCTGAAACAATCCAGCACGTTGGGTATGGAGAAGCAAATAAGAATACCTGCACATGTACTGTGTCGGGAACCCATTGCGAAAGCCACATCTGCAGATCATATGGTGTATGGATCCATTCGGCGCACTTTGGTTACGGCCTCTCCCAGTCCTCCGCAGGTTTGCCGTGGGGCAGTCGGTCCCCCCTCCCCGAGGTGGCCGGGTCAGGAGATGCACCTCACCTACCAGTAACTGTGAAGGTGAAAGGTGAGAGGATCTTCGCTCCTGGGGCGCCGAGGTCGAGGCAGATTAGACGTCGGGAAACCGACTAGCCAGGTGGTAACACATTTCCTAGTGTCGATAGGTCAGTCCATGCGCATACTTGAATATTGCATCGTCGTGAAGGAGCAAGTATTCATTGTTCACCCGTTAGCGTTCATGTATGCATTCCGAGTATTTGAGTAGATAGACTTCTCCGCCTAGTGGTGATTAACACAGAGCCCATCGATGGGACAATCTTACTTGCAGAGCAGAGTGCGTAAGTCGTGGACTAGAATGGGGGAGACTCGGTTAATGTCGATAAGGTCCTTTTCGGATGATGCAAATTTGTCAAGTACACACTCTTGTTCGGTTGCAGATTCAATGCCGCATGTAACCTAGGAACCCATACTCTCGAAACTTCAGACGCGATATGATGTTGCAGCGCACCCTCTGGTATGCGTTTACAGGTTTCAGAGCCCTGTGCCATGCTGCCCAAGTGCCACTAGCGCCTCACGTCGGTCCTCAACCCAGTGGCACCATTGGAAAAGCGCCAGTCCAAGGGCGTTTGTTGTCGGTCGAAAAACCTCACTATGCGGCTGGTGGCCTTCACACTGAAGGAGATCATGATTCTCTCGCAAATTGGCGACTGGATCATCCTCCGAGCGTCAATTCGACGCATCACCTCATATTCGAGACAGTCGGTTCGTTGCTCCAACAGTGGCCGAATACACGCATGCGCAATGGTTAGTGGGTATCAATACTACACCCCCTTATTCCACTGGTCCTGCCTTCTCTTATCCTGTTTCGTTGTATCCCGGTGTTTTCATGACATGCGGCAGGTCATAACATTGTGCCCGGAACTGTGCCCACAGGAACACTTCTATACCATGGCACGTGGCACCCGGAACTACCCCCTGGGCCGGACTGGACAGCATTTGACCCAGAGCACTCAACTCTTTTCTGTGGGAGCTGGGTCGTCGATGGCAGGTGCTGGCACCTCACTCTTACAACTACACGCCCTCTCAAAGTGGTGTATTTCGATGGAAATAGTGCGGCGAAGCTTCCGTTTGGGGGGTTAGATTCGCAGGACATCCTTACCTGGGGGGATGTGAGACCCGATTTGTCAATCGACGATTTGGGTAGGATTGCATCGTTGTGTGACTGGGGTAGAGAATATAATGTTGATGGATTTGTGAGGTAGGTTTTCGTGTATAGGTGTACTTGGTTTCGGGGATTGATATACATCACAGAATGGAAATGAGCTTGTCAGTTGGATGCAATCTAACCGTATTTTTGTTTCGCTAACTTATCATTTTAGTGAGATCATGCTCTGCAACTTCACATCCGGTGTCCGTGTTGTCTCATTCTCAAATATTGTGGATCCTGTTATCCCTCACGGTGCGAGTTCCAAATACTCCCCCACCTTCGAGGCGATGTACACTGGATCCTGGCACAACCGATATCCAGGAGAGACACGCATTCAGCTCGATCTTTCTGGCCTTGTCTCATTTTACGATACGGAGCTGGTGCCCTCTCTGGTTCCTGTTCGTTTTGGGAAAGAAAGGTGGGATCACCGATTGCTAAATATATCTACGGACGACGTGGTGCGCGTGAGAGCCCGACTAACAGAGGTCCTCTCTGGACCAGCGGGCAGATCTAGTAGCATTCATTGGCCAGCTTTGATTCGCGTCGTCATCGACCGATACTCTGACCGTCTCGAGCTCGTGCAATATCTCCTCAACTCTACAAACACAGACAGCCACGACCCGGGTAGCGTGATAGATTTTGCTATCAAAGTCCAGGTGCAGTTGAGGCACATGTTGATGCCTTATATCCTCGTCGATGTTACCCCGCGCTCCATTGGCACAGGTGTGAATGAACCAGGATCTGATGCGCTGGATTGGGTCCTCCCTGTGTATAAACTTTGCGCAACGACACATACAAGTATGCTGAAGGACTGATGCCATGACGTCTTCGGAAAAGTTGTTGGTGGATGCCGTGCAAGAGACAACGCGAGAGATTTGTCGTGTCTTGACGAAGATGTGGGGCCTAGGTGTCTTGGCGGGATGTGGACCAATTCATGGGCACAGAGAGTCGGCCACACATGCAGGCAGTCCAAGACATGGTGAAGACATGGAAGAAAGATATCGACGGGTTGATGACATAGGTTGGACTGGAATGTATGGGTGAAGTGTTGGCCTGCATGTGGTCCAGAGGTATTCCTTCCCGATGGTGTAATCAAGTACGTGAACTGACTTGATACTAGGAAACGTGTTACCTTACCACCTGGCCAGTCGGTTTCCCCCCTTTCAATCGATCTCGGGTACCCACGCCCGGAGGAGGTCCTGTGTCACCTTTACCTTCGCAGACGGTCCCGAACTGGACGCCGATGCCGACGGTCACCGCGCCCCCTTGGCGGGGTGGACCGGCTTTCGGCGAGCTTGCAAAGGATTGGCGGAGACCGCAGCCGAGGTGTATACGTCGAGTCGATCCATATGATTTGGGGGTGCGGTTTGTAGCATCGGATTTTGAGCTTGCATACCCATTCAGGACGGCGTCCGTTCATACCCAGTACTAACGCGTAACTTTCCATATGCATTTTTACATTCTATGCACTTGGCCTTTTCGGGAGAATAACATGGCTGGAGTGGAAGGTGTGGGCGAAGTGCCGGTCTGCGTGTGGCACTGCGACGACGCGGTCAGGTGCATGAACCGACCAATCGACAGCAGGAAACATGTTATCTCATAACCTGTCTCCATTGCACAATAGTCGATTTCGGATTCCCGGGCTTGAAGGAGGCCCTGTGCCTCCTTGTTTGTGCCGGATCAGACCCCCAACGCTATTACCGACGGTCACCCTGCCAGCAAAGATTGTGTGTATGTCTAGTCGAGTATGGAGGGTATGACGTTACATTACCATACACGTATCACTGCGCAAGGCTATGGGAACATGTCAACAGACTCGATCAGTGTTGTATTCTAAATTTTCTCGCAGAAAGACCAAAAGAGCAATGGTCTGGAGCTGGTTTTCTCGAAAGCAGAGGGGGTCTTAAGAGATGCACAAACCGGCACTAATACCGCAGCATATGTGCATTCCATGTGTGGAAAGTCGTTCTATTTAGCGTCCAAGTCGGATATAAGTACCATCCTACAAACATCTTGGTGTTCGAAGTACATACGTTAAAATCAAATAGCCTGCATCGAAGACAAAATTGCTTCGTGTAAAAGCTCTGCCGACCCTCCATCCTCCGCTAAGACACAAGTGTCTTCCATGCGACTTAACACTTCCGCAATATACTTGGCTGCACCGGAGAGATGGGCAACCTTCGCACAAGCGGCGCGAATAGCAAGGTAGTTTGGACTAGGAAGGGGATATTTTGGATCCGTGGTTGCAAAGGTCACATATTCTGGGCGGTGGTTAAGGAGGACGCTCGTGCTTGCTTCGAGTCTGTACGTATTGGGTATGCTCTACAATGCAGGATTCTTGCTTAAATCCCTCAGGCTAAAGACAGGAAAATATGATTCGCACCGTTTCAGAAAGCCATATCCACAATGAATCAAACAGCAGGTGAGTGGTAAGGTCCATCGTCATGACATTTTCAAGTCGATGTATATTGGAACCATTGAGCTCCTCCCGTAGGTGCTGGTAGCCCAAGCAGTCAAGCACTGCCCAAACAGAAGCAGTACAGTGGTCCTAAAACAATGGTCAACGAGGAAGATGTCCATTTCGAACAAGAAACCAACCATGTTTGAGCCTGATGTGCTGTTTGCGGTGATAAGCTCCGGAAAAATGTGAGCACAGTGAGTAATCCTCACAGACCCCTGTTCCCTGTAAACGATCTCTCGCAACTCGCTGTTACGCATGGCGGCGGGCGCATCATAAGATTTGGTGACAACACACTGATAACCATCCCTAGCGAGGGCCTGTTTAAAACATATGTAAGACACAATAACAGCAAACTAAAACGGGTGATACGAACGAGCTTCTTAGCAGTTTGATAATTTTGAGGGGCCTCACCCGACATGTCCTTCATCTGATCTGTGGCTTCGTCAAACGACGATCGAGATGAGTCAGACGAAGGCGTCCGTGTGTGCTTTTGGCTAGATATGACTTTGTTGGTTAAGTATGTCTGGAGTAAAGCTGTTAACTTGGAGGACGCACAGAGTCGCATGAAAAACTGATAGAAGTGCTGCCCTAACTCCAACAGTTTTTCGTCGTCGGAACTGATTGTTGAGATCTCCCGAACGAAGTCGTCATTCAACTGGCGACCCGGAAAATGGTGGAAGAGGTAGCCAAGTATTTGGCAATAAATCATCTGCTTCTCCATTTTCTTCCCCGAGTCAATCTCACCTTGAATTGCCTTTTCAAGTCTGAGGATTATGTTGTATGTGTTCACGATACTGGCTTGGTCGTGATAGCATTCCAATGTGGGCGGAAGGGGAGGCATGAGGATTGAGTGGTAAGAGTCGTGCCACACACTTCGGTGGCAAATACTGAAGTATGTCTCCTCTTCGGCCGTCCCCGAAATCCAGACCCAGTTCATCGAAACACCGTCAACTGCAAGTCGACAGCAGCAATATTCTGTATGAGTCGAATGCCATGTGCTGTATAACTGCCGCATCCATTTGTGAGGGAAATTGACAAGCTGATCATACTAGTGCCGTGCACAAGGTTGGGGCGAAAGCACAATGCACTGCTTCATGCACGGTTCAAAGGGGCCACAGTCCCTTGGCGGCTTAGTCAGCTACACCGTGATTGCAAGCGTATGCAAGCTGCAAGCGAGTGTCTCATACTGACACCAAAGAACGAACCGGGAGGTACGCCCTCAATTTTCATCCGCATGTAGCCGCAAGGTGCCGTACAGGAACCAAATTCTTGCAGTTCGTGTCTAAAATCTGGACATTGCCGTTAGATGACGGGTCCGAGGTTCCACCCATCTGGCAGGGTTTGCCGCCAAGTGAGATGAGTTTGTCGCTCGACTCCAAAATCGGGCGTTGCCGCCGGGAGCGATACTTAATTATGGGCCAACCCCGGGTTGACGTGCCAATCGGTAGATTTGCACGATCAGCGCATCCACTGTCCAGTGTGATAGTGAGGTATGGCTGGTCAGTAGTAGAATCGCCGAGGTGGGCATTGATCTGATCCAACAAAGTTCCAGCTATTTACCATCGGCCGTCTTGATGGCCCCCATTTGTTTGGTGAGCGCTTGTAATTATATCAACTCGAATTCTTCAGCAATGGCAGAAAGGCATGGAAGAGTGCCAGTGAGTACGCAGCCGAGTTTGTTTGAGTTCGATGCGAAACTGCCAGGGAGTGGCGGCTGCCAAAGTTCCCACGTGTGACGTGTGCTCGTGGAAACATTGGCCACTTCGCGCACGGCGGCCAATAAGCAGTTTTTGGTGCTGAACGTTGAACTTGGACGACACCTACCGACACCCAATTGGAGCGGTCGATCAGCGAGATCTGTATTACCAACCTAGAACGGTAAGTATACTTCGGCTGGTGGTTCTTGTCGTCGCACACCTTTTCAGAAATCAATTTGTCCATGGATCATCTAGCACATCTGCTTCGGACTTGCCAGCCGGCGGTGAGCAATTGTGCAAGTGATAATTGTCAGATCTCTGATGACAGCGAGCCATTCTTTGCATTGTCAATATTCAGCAAGCCTGTTAAACGTAAACGCGCACTAAGATGTTGCACAGACTCAGCCCAAGTGATCCTTCTGCGATCGAACGTACAGCTCCTGTATCCTTCCATCAGTATGTTCTCACGGAACGCCACTACAACAGCAATGAAGAGGAGGGGGGTCCTTGTAATTTCCGTTGATTTTTTTTTCAAGTCCCTCGCAACCCCCCTCGGAAGCAGAGGTCGATGAGCGCCATCATAAATCTATCCGGCCTGAAACTGTGCCATGAAATTAGAGAAGGATCAAAGCCCCTGCGCACGCTTAATGCTTTCCCTCCGCGATGCAGCTGTCGAACTCGCATTGGCAGCCCTCAAGTAGCGGCATTCAAACCTGCTACTTTGAGGCTGCTGCACACATTCCTCCTAGAATCGATGAAAATTATAGGCTTGGACCACGGAGGTACTTCTGCTGACTACCAAGTACAATGCATTTTCCTCACTTTCAAGCAGGCCCACCGACATAAACAGACAGCTCGATGAAATATCCCGAGATTTGGCTTATGTTGTCAGTGCTCGAGTTACAGAAATTCATCGTGGCTGAGACTAGTGCAGGATACCCTTTTGGCGGAACTATGGCTTCTCCTCTTGCGGTACAAGCAAACATCTGTATATCACTTCGGAGACTTTCTCCCTTCAAAAAAAACCTCGGATCTTGCATCCGCCTACCACAGCCAACCCATCAACGATACTTGCCCTCAACCTGCTGATTTCCAGCCTGGTAACGAGGAGCTGGAATGCCTGTGGCTATCAGAGGACAGCGATGGCCCATGTAGCCACAGGTTCAAAAACAGGAAGGATTTCATCGACCACCTCAACCGCTCCCATGAAGCCAATGGCACTGCCAAACGCAAAATTCCCTGCCGTTGGCTTCTCGGTCCTCATGATCTGTCGGTGTGTGAGCGTGAAGTACGCCGAGCTGGCTTTTCGCGTCATATAGACGTTCACCTTAAAACCACCTTTGCGTGCCCTCATCCCGGGTGCCAAAAACGTTATTCCCGTCACGATGTGCTCCAGAAGCACCTCAAAGTACACACCGATTGAATTCCTGGAGTCTCACGACCCCAACGATACTGTGGCATGTAACTTCTCGTCGGTATCGGATCTGTGTTGTTGTTAATTCTAGGCTGTTTCCCTCTCAGTTGTAAAGGCAATACTATACACGCAATGCCCAGCTTTTTTCAACTATTCAATAGAGGAGTCAGAGGTCGGCGAGTCGGCGCTGCGAATTCAGTGTACAATCGTGTCACATCCATCAGAAATGTATGGTGGCAGGTACCAGACATGGATAACTACCAAGTGGATAGAAGATGGTGGCGGACGCGTAGCCGGGGGGGAGGGGGGAATCGCCAAAAGAGTACGCGAGGTCGGAGCAAATAGAATTCGCGTGAACTGCGAGGGCGGATGGGAATTCTAGATGCTTTTTATCCTGCTTACAGCCGCTCAGCCGTCAAACTGTGGCGACCGGCTCTGCTTGTTCTCGAGGACGAACAATAACACTGAGGTTGCCATCACAATGTGCGGCGGCGGCCGGCCACAGCTGGGCCCTGTGGCCTTGAGGCCTGGCCAACTGGTCAGAGTACGTACAAGTACTGGACGCCCTGGTGTGCAGGTACTTTGCAAATCGTAAATTCCTCTACTATTAAATATTCGCTCCGGGAGACAGAAATGTTCTTCGCAAAAGAAGTCCTGCGCGGTTCGGCGGTGGCATTTGGAACGCCACATGTGGGGTTCGGCCTCAGACCCGGATGTGCTGGGAACTTTGGCGCTTGCGAAGCAGGCGGGAGCTCTCTCTTGTTCCGCATTCGATAGGGTTATCGGCAGAAGAAGAGACTACATAACATCGGGTGCAGTACAGCCGCCAACTCCATCATGGGCACCCCACGGCTAGTTCCACCGCCCCTTGGGGCCGTGCCATGTGGCGTCTCGAGTCGTCGCATGAGCGCTGAGCCCTGGAAGCTCTGCACCAGAACTTGACCCTGCTGGGGGGATCCGAAGCTGCGCAAGAATAAGAAGTCGAGCACACTCGGAGTTCGGTGTGAGGTTCACCAATGCATGTTCCAATGTCCCGCTGTAGTCCTGCTACCCTCCCAGGGCATATGATGTGTCACGGACCAGTCGCTGAGAAACAAATTATTGTTTTTGGATTCGTCATCTGATCGATACTCTGCTAACGACTTTGCGATCGTCATATTAGATCAGGCGAATATCGCTACCGAAGTGAATCTTAACACTGCACTGCCAGCCAGCCACATGCAGCTGTTTACAGTGGTTCAATCACCCACCGTTCTATTCCCCCAGCAACTCGCAACTCGTTAATCGCACAGCAATTCAGTGATAAGGCCGGTACACACATTTCAATGGACAATTTTGATAATGCTCCTGTTCTCCTTTCTTCTGATAGCGCACCCGCAAAGTTTTGTCGACCGGCTCCATTTGTTTCAGTAGAGCTGCTGCTTAGCTTTTCCAACTAGTGTAGCCTGCGGACAAGGCTGGAAGTTACATCCATTGTATCCTTCGCACGCAACTCGCAACTTACACTACCATTATGGTAAGGGGATGAAAAGCAAGCAGATGTCATATTGTATAGCCTGTCATATCTTTCTTTGATCGAAGAATTTCAGCGAACCCTCATCAACGTATTCAAACAGCACGCCACCGCGGTAATAGAGAAACCATCTATGGAATTTTAGCCGAGAAATTCCATAGAGCATGTGCGCAGCCCCTCCCAAAGACTAACCCGAACCCTACCGCAAAGTGCCAACGGTGCCATAAAGTTGCATGAGGCCCGATTTTAAAATACTTTTAAAACGTCCCCTCAATGCTCGTCCTCCTCAGCGGCTTATGGCATTACCTTTGAACTCGCGCTGGAGTGCCGCAAGTAGAGCCCTTGAGCCGGAGCGCCTTCCTACCATCGACAACACCCCCCAGCTAGCAACAGCCCAGTACGTCTTCTGGCCTTAGAGAGGATGAAACATCGTCCTCACTTTTATGCTAGCCACGTTGACATAGACAAGCGCATTGACGATCTGTTCCTAAAGCTCGCCTATATTGTCAGTGACCACACTGTAAAAATTTTATCGCAGCTGAGGATAGTTTAGGATTGACTTTTGAAAGACGTATGATTGGCCGTCTGCCAGTTATGGCCTGCTCCTGCGTGTCAGTGCGCTCTCGTAAACGACGCGTTTACAACTGCCCTCTTGATGGGCGCGAACCATTGTCTTCCCACTATGAATTCATGCCAATCCCCCAGTGCCGGTATCACTCCCCGACATGCTGATTCTCCGCCCTGCAACAGGAAGCTGGTGTGCGAGTGGTTTCCAGGGGAACATAACCGCGTGTGCAACCAGCAGTTCGAAAGCCAAAGGGACCTTATCTGTCACCTAAATCATGTGCACGGAGCCAATGGCCCTGCGAAACGTGAAATTCGTTGCCAGTGGCTTCTCAACGCCGATAGTTCTCTGACGTGTAGTCGTGTTGTGCGCAGAGCTGGGTTCTCGCGACATGTCGACGTTCACGTCGAAGCAACTTTCATGTGCTCCTATCCGCGGTGCAAGAAATCATGTTCCCGCCAGGACGTACTCCAAAAGCACATCATCAAACACCACACCCAATCGAATTTCCTCCCATAAAACGACAGCGGATACCTTGGTCGGCATCTTCCAACTGTTATCGTCACGCTGTGATCAAAACCATTAATTATCAGTTGGTACATTGTTATGCATTCTTTGATAGCTGTAGGAACACTCACCAGGATGGCATTTCCGTTGTCACTTAATATGGGCCGCCGTTTCTCTCCCTGTATTTTTTTCTTGGTGGTAATGTATTGCTTCGTCTTGGTCAAATATTCAGTCTGAGGCATTTATTTGATTGCCACGGCACGAATTTAATGCCCCGTTCCATCTCAATAGAACGTGACCATACCTAACCCATGCAGTCTTGGAAGATTTTCAGTAACGAATGGCCCTAAAACATGATGGGGGAAAATTACCAAGTACAAGAACCATAGAGAGCGACAAAGTATTCGAACGCGGTAATCCCAGAGACTACGTGATTTGATGCTTTAAGTACGTCTCGACTTCAGCAAAACAGGCGAAGTATCTTCGTGGAGCGCGAGATGAGAGAGCAAGAGACTGGTGCCAGCACGTGCTGTTGCAAAAGTGAGTACCTTTTAACCCATCAGCAACCGCTCATAGAAAGGTTCATTCACAGGTGATACAGGCAGTGACTAAATCCCGTCATTCCCCTTTCGTGCAAGGTTACCATCAAAAATGCGGCGGCTGCCAAGTGCCAACAGCTGGCCAACTAATTACAGCACTCGAATACTTGATGTACGGATGCGTTGCATACACTGGATATTCCTGTATAGTCAGAAATTCCTCTAGAAAGTACAGCTTTTTCTTACGAAGGAAACATCGTGATCAGCGGTAAATATCGTGGTAGGGGGGGGGAGAAGCGGGATCACGTTGAGAAAGGGTGGGAATAGTGGCGCCTGTCATGAGCTGTTGTTCTGGAACGGTTGGTATCCTGATCTGAGAAGAAATATTTGTGGGTGCCCAGGTGCCGAACAAGTGCTATCGTTACTCGCCAGGCTCACGCCAATCAGTATAATCACCATGGTCATCCCCGCCCGGACATGGCGCCACATGAGACTATACCATGTGTTTTCGTATTTGAAGGAGTGTGGATACGAGGCAGTGGGTTCATCGGCACGACAGGAACAAAGTGGTGATGCGTCCAGGGCTTACTGTAGTCATTACTCATGCTGCCTTCAGTACCGTGGTAGCAGAGATCACAGCCACACGTTAGAAAAGATCGCAGTGACCCCAGCAAGTCTGAAATCCTCAAATCACGGATGATCGGCCGGCGTACTGGACAAGGAAAGCACAACAGGGCCTGGATATGTGACAATCGGAGCATTTAGCGCCCCCCCCCGCTAGGATAGAAGGTATTAGTGACTCAACTTCTGATATTATAGTGGTCGTGACAATACAAGGAACAAGCTATGCCATAATTTCCACGTGCCATACATGCTCCTTCCCGTAAGTCAAAGAGGATTCGGAGAGGTTTGAAATAAATCAAAAGGTGCCGGGGATCAAAGGCGTTTCATTTACTTCCTGTGTGAAGCCTTTCAAAAAAATCATTTCACAGTCCGGAATCCGAATCACCTAAGATATGCCGTGCACACATACGTACGATGGACCGGGTAGAGAGTGCGTTGACTATATACAGTCGATTCCCTCATAACCCATACCCATTCGGAATAGGTCATAGGGTAAGGGGTATGAGAGAGTGTGGGTTTCTGAGAGCTATTCGAGGGGAGTATGGGAATTTTGAAAATGGAAAAATGTACGGGTTAGGATGGAGTCGACCGTATTATCGGCAAGGTCAGGTGTGCACCTTACCTGGTATACGACGAATAAGAGAAGATCATGTTCGATCTAACACCAAAGTCTCACGTCGTTCTGCGGAACAGCGCACGTACTCACCTGATAAGCTTTAAGTCTGGTGTAACATCGTGCTCCAACCCCAAGAAAAAAGCAAAAGATTTTAGAGAATTCAAGGTAAAGATCGACTTGCTCGGCATGGCACTTTTCTGCCGGAGCTCGGAATTATTATTGATGAGCTTCCTAGCAGAAATCGCCGCGTTCTCACCTGGAATAAGAAACCCCGAGCTCTCTACATAAGGAGAAGTGCAACGGAGCCAGTTTCAAGCCTCTGCAGGGAGAAGCCAGCGGCCGATACCACCCGCGACGCACTCAATTGGATATTATACGCTGGAAGTGACGTTACGCATTCTCGACTGGCCAGACACCATTTACAGGTGAGGTGCTCGGAAGGTGCCCCTGCTGTTTGAAGTTTGAGAAGTTGACAGTTTGGCGCCTGGCAGACAGCATCCGACTCAGAAACACCGCCCACAATTGTGAATCACAAATCACGACGTACGTAATTGGCAACGACGTTTCCAAGTATATCCAGTATATCAGCGTGTTAGGCATTGAGTGTCCTCTCCAAGCCCGTCATACCGGTTCAAATTCCAATGCAGGTTCGCTCAAGACCTCGAATGGATTCCAGTAATTCAATAACAAGACTAGTCACGAATAAGCTATACAAGGGATACAATGTAACCAACATTATTAACGAATAGTCAGGAATAATGAATAGTAAGAGAGAATTGCATATTGGTTGTAATGGTGTATACTTTACGTGTTATGAATCAACCTCCGTGAACTTTAGTCAGTACGACCTTGTCTCCAAACATTTGGCGTCTGTGAGCCTTCGAGTTGACGAGCCTGGTGGGAGTCCCACCCAAGCACATCTCCCTGCGTTTGAAGTGTTCGAGCACACTATCAGATCGCGAGAAATCCTTTTGGCACACAGAGCACTCCCAGCGAACCTCCAAGTGCTTCAAAACGTGGCGAGGGAAATTACTCTTCATAACAGAGGCTGCACACCCATTCCATCGACACATGACATCCGCGTCGGGGTCGCCACGAAGGTGGATGTCGTGTGCCTTTGCCAGGTGGTCTTTCATAAGTCTCTTGTCGTCAGAAATCCACTCTTGACAGTTGTCAAAAGAGCATGGATAGAAAAGAGGCCCCAACGTGGCAATATTATCCGTAAGGGAGGAATCGTGGTCAGTGACCAAGGATCCGTTGCATGGCATTGCGGGAGACTTCCCCATGTACACTGGCGAGGGACGACGAGAGATTGAACTTTCGGAGCTACCAGATGCGGAAAATGGGGTGGGGATCTCCGGAGATGCGTTGAACGAATTACATGGCGTGTGAGAAGCAGCTACCATGACCGACAAAGGGTACTGATGGCCAAAGTGATAGTAACCTCCGTCATGGTGGATGGGGGACGCAGCCATGTCGACGGCTGGTGAGTTCGAGGTGTATGCGGTACTGCTGACCATGCAGTCGCACGAATTGTGCTGGTCAACTATCTGGGTATCACTGGCGTTGGTCGGCGAGACCATCACGTCAGCACATGTTGCGAGAGCAGGTGGTGGGACTGCCGGGAATCTTCCAACCTCATAGATTGGAAGAAAATTCTGACGGAGTTGTTGCGTAGCTTCGTACTCCGACGGAAAGGGTCCATGAAAGGTTTCGCAGGAAACCTCCCCCTCGCTGCCAAGTGTCTTCAGCGCGAAGTGCGTACCGCGACAGAAGGACTCACCGCTGATCATTGTCGTAGCCAGACACGGCATTGAACAGCTCGCTAGGCCACGGTGGGAGACTTCCACTTAACCAACCCATCGTATCAGAGGTAACACTAGGGGGACTATCCTTTATGACTTCAGGCTCGTCCTGCTCGGGCGATCCAATGCTGAGGATATTGTCAGTCCTCATTTCTAGGGTCTTGCAAAGAATCACCGACAAGAAAAGAGGGATGCGTTCCATTCTTGAGTGATGATGGAATGTACATTCGTAGAGTTTGCTTTGCAAGGCCTTTTATATGAAGCCTGAAGCGAAGATTCAAGCCCAAAGTTTCCAGACATTTTGATGGAAATATTCTTTGATCGACGGAGACCGATATTATGAAAGAATGTGTGGGATGTGTACGTGCGGTCCAGCTCCCGGGATCCGATAGTCCAAGATAACTAATGGCACGCTTCCGGAGTCCAAGTGACATACAACTCGTGGCTGCCACATGCAAACTAACCCTGAACGCCACCTTCTGGAGTCTGGTAAATGAAAGCCACGCGGAAATAGATGGGGGTGGACGCGTCAACATTTCCATATCCTTGCACAACGATAGCTCTGAACCTGATCAGTGGCGCCACTTGGCAAGCACCTAGCACACCGGGAAAGGGTAGCTCGTTACGTGACTGAGAAAGGGGTGAAGTAAAGGATACTAGTTATTGGCATCCTTGGAAGGGGCAGCGACGAAGCCCCATAATTTAAGGGCAGGACCTAACTCACGAGAGGGGTAACCTGCCGAACCTCGCTCGCGAAAACTAACAACCGGTCGCAAACCTGCGATATTGGCTGTTATGCCTTGGGCTTTATCGGCGTATTAATGTCGTAGAAGCCAGCGGTAGACTCCGAGTCGAACGCTAATTGTTCGCGCGCCATCTGGCAAAACGGCTTAGCCACTTTCAGCGAGTGCGGACCAAATTCGAAATTTCATTAAGTGTTGGCCGACATTTCGTGGATTGAAGGCGTACCGAGGTGACCGAAGGAGGTGCCGGAAAGTTTCGTAGCGAAAGTTACGGCCTCCCTTGCCCTTGATGAAACGGCTAAGGCACGGGCACAAACTCAGTGGGAGGTAGCCATTAGTTGTTCTTCACGTGGCTCCACATCGCGGCCACATATTTGGCGTGACGAACTCGGACAGTTATCGGCCCATAGTACGGAGACTGAAGACCCCCGTAGGTCGACCACGCAAACCGTGCAAGTTTGCGCACCTTGAAGCTTGAAGGTTCGCGTATGGTGGGTGGACGGATAAACAATGCAAGCGGTCGTGGGAGCACTGGTTTCCAAAGTGATTGGACCCTCTCTTCTGGCTATGCAGCCCACTGGAACTCAAGAGGTCGAAACTAAAAAAACGCAATGTCGTAACCACCAGTAAGCAACGAACTGACGGCATTGCTTGCTGTAATTTGCATATTGATAACGCTAGGACGATTTCGGTTAGTACGGAGCACGTCCCGGTATGTCGAGATGAGCCCAATTGTCTGGCTCGGCCGAGCCGGTGGGCAGAGACCCAGCTGTGGGGAAGAACAGACGATTTGATTGACTGTGTTTTCTCCTACGGTATTGAAGGCTAATTTGCGTGCCACCTTGTCATCGACGCTAAGCGTTTTGCACGTTGATGCATGGTGCTTCCTGCGCTGCCTGACCCTTTCAATGGATATGTCTCACAGAACTTGAGATCATGCGGTCGCACACTAAAATTAAAATCACGCAGAAGGTATATCACCTGCGTTTGCCCACGGTGTTGCTAGGTTCGCCATCTGAGTCTCTACCATGCTTTTATCGGTGCTTGCACTGGTCGGCCTCGCAGCGGCCTGCGGGGACTATCACTCTCATGCGCGCGATACTCATGCTGAGAAGCGAGAGTATCCTCAGTTTCCGCTTACACCTCCGTATCGCCCACTCGTATGGGGTGACTTCAATGTAATTCACACCACCGACACCCACGGATGGCTGCTCGGTCATCAAAAGTCAAGCTGGCCGGAGCCGAACTATAGGTACGTCTGTTCGATCGAATCTACGGTAGACGAGACTGCTATGTGGAGGTTGGACACCTCGAACGCCGTATGGTTGGAGGCCAGTCGTAGTCGGCGAATCACGAAGTTGGCAGAGTACTTATGTCCCTTTCCACCCAGTGGTGACCTTGGAGACTTCGCGAGCTTCGTAGCCCACATGAAGCAGATTGCTGTTGTATGTCTCTTATGCATTTTTCGGTGACGCTGTGACGGTGATGTGTGGGGATCCTAAGGAAAAGAACGTCGACCTTCTCTTGGTTGACTCAGGCGACGTCCATGACGGTAGCTGGCACATATATCTATATGCTTGATCCTCGAAGTCTCATTCACCTTCAGGAACTGGACTTTCTGATGGGTATCCGCCAGGCGGCGTAGATGCGCACGAGGTATGGTCTGCGTTACCTTATCGAGACAGTGACTAAGCGGCACAAACCCGTAGTCCAACAAGTTCCTCGAGCGCCTCCCTTATGATGTTATGGCGATTGGCAAGTAAGTCCACCACCTGTCATTCTGGATGACCACTTATGTTTTGTTGAAGTCACGAGCTATACGTTTATGCGGATACCTATGATATGTACGTGCCTGCCGCCCAGTTTGATATCTGCAACTAACATGTGCTGCTCTTTTTGGCATACTTTTGCGGGGAATTGGTTCAGCAGGTATACCAACTTCGTACCCCAGTTAAACGGGCGTTATTTGTCCTTGAATGTCAACATCACCGTGTTCAACTCTGATGGGGAAACTGTCAGTGTGCCTGTTGGTAGTGAGTTTTAGCATGACCAAGCCTACCAGGTCGTTGGATTGAGCCTCCTCTTACAGATCGCTTCGTGAAATTTACAACTGCTAAGTATGACGATTCTTCTCGATGTAAAGTTCCAACCGCGTAGCGATTAAGCTTTAAAACAGGGGACGCCGGGTAACATCTCTTGGTGCATTGTATGATTTCACTGGCAATTCCGTCAACACCACTGTGCAGTTCGTCGCCGATATGGTCAAGGAATCTTGGGTAGGCGCGCACCAAAACTGGAAGTGTGAAATCTTTCTCAAAGTCACGTCAACCAGTTCGCAGAAGCCATCGAAGAAGAGCCAGACGTATTTGTTCTTGTTGGGTAAGCAATGCGCGTCTTTACCTGACTTCTTACACAACCCTCGACCGGTTTCAAAATTTTGTCCCTCAGCCACATGCCTGTTTCTTACGATAACTGTGCGTATTCAATTGAAGGGCAGTGCATTTCTAGATTACGTGATACATATGTCTGACAGGGCCGGTGGTCTTCAATGCAATCCGTGCTGTGCATCCGTTGACTCCGATCCTGATTTTCGGAGGTAAATTCATTATTCAAAGCGAACTTTCAGGGTCTCAGAAACCTGTAGGTCACACTCACATCCGGGATTGCCAACAATATGATGGACGTTCTATGGCATTGGAAAGCGGTCGCTACATGGAAACCATTGGTAGGCTGACATCTGTTGTGCCTCCCGATTCTCGTGATTCGACCTTACCTTCCCAGGTTGGATGAGTATGTTCGCCACGCTGCCCGTATGTTTCAATGGTCTAAGACGTCTACAGGCGCGAACCTTGGTGCAGCGCAGGGCAATTCCAACAACATTTCGTTTACTAGAAGATACCTTGATCAAAACCGGGTTACCTACCAGGTACGTGAAATGGAACTGTGAGCTGAGGTTACCACGGTTCCATGTTATCGTCAGTATCACACTCAGACATCGAACTCAACGTTCGACACGTCTTATGGTCGCTCGATCACGACTGGTTTGGAAGACCTTGCAGAGCAGTTCGATCTTTCCTATCTATACGGTTATGCTCCTCAAGACTACACCTTAAGCCGGTAAGTTGGTGTCCTTTCCTGGCTAGAGCATGCTAATGTAGGAACAGAAATCCCTATCCATCCAACGGCTCCGTCCTATCCCTATTCGTGGACGATGTGAGTTTTTGGCTTGGTCATCTTTGGCTTCAGCTGTATCGATGTACTTTGTTAGGCTGCTCTGACCGCACTTGCCATCAACAATTCACGCGCTGACATACCCTAATATCCTAATCACGAATTCCGGCGAATTGCGCTTCGATGTCCTCAAGGGTGAATTTACGAAGAACGACCAACTCACCGCCTTGCCGTTCACTGACTCATTCCTCTACATCCCGAACATCACCTTTAGTATTGCCAACCAGGTCTTGCCAGCGCTCAACAGCGCTGGTGCATCGGACAAGAAGAAGCGCGCGACATTGGAAATGGAGATGTGGCGTCGTGGTTACGTTGATGACCGCTACAACGCGTGGCTGAAAGATATGTTCTGGCGTGCTGGTCCTGGAAGCAGAACGGAGATGGCAGGAAACCTGACGCTCGGTTATGTCACTACGGACGTGAGTATGACTTCCAATCTGCGGCATGTACGCTCATGCGGGCCGTATTCCATGTCCACTGCTAGCCTTGTCCAGGTTATGGTGATGACACTCTCCATACTGCCGTTCCTTATTATTCGAGCCCTGATTACATTGGGTCGGCTGCACCTAACTTGACCGATGACACAGCCATCGACCTCGTGTTCAGTCAACTTCATCGCCTCAGACAGTTGTCACGGTTTTGAATACTCTGCAGAACGCAAAGAACTATACCGAGTCCGATGCATCGCTTGTATAGCCCGGTGCTGGCAAACCAAATCCTGGAACTGTATGCACAGGCCAAGTGGAATTAGGGTAATTGATTACGGATCACGAACACCATGCCCAAATCAATGAAAATTCAGAGTACATACTCTTAAGCTTGCAACTCCCAAATCGCTGCCGATAATCCTCATGTTTCTGTATACCACTGGTTTTCGTACATCATTAATCAGATACCAACGGTCGTCCTATCGGCAGGACCGAGCGAAAGAGGGATCTGACTGATGATGGGCCACTGGCACGATGCACCTTAGCAACGACCGTACTTACGGCGCATCATTGTTTTGGAATAGTGGTGGATGGAAACAAACTCTAGCATTTTAGGCTGTTTTACTCTGATTGTACATGGTATGTTTTCGGCCGCATGCAGACCCGCAGCTGCCGATAATTATCTCAGGGTCCAGGAATACAATCTCTGAAGCGAGGGTACGAGTCACTACACCAGGCTCTGAACCCTACGTTGGGCGTCCCCCTCCAACGAAACGGCGCGAATTACTTGCAGGGTATTTTGCTCCCAACAATTTGGCTGAATGGCCGACTCCACTTTTTAGTCTAGTCTGTGGTGGTGAAAGCTCTGGGGTGTTTTAGTACTTACGATACACTGAAGCCGGGTAGTAATAACCTGTTTGGATGGAATGATGACAGAGGAAGAGTAAAACTTGAGGGTCGGGCTCTGGTCCACTTACGTTTGCTGACCTCATTGCGTGCAGAAACAGTGCGGATGGGATAAAGGTGGGAGCAAAGGTGCGCAGACTAGTCCCTTACCTTATGACTAGAACTATGTAAACTCTGGTGAGAGGCAAAACGTGTAGAGGCAAAAATAAGGCAACTTCAGTGAAGGACGAGAGTATCGCTTTCTGATCGACTGTGCAGCACTAGTCAAAGTGACCTGGTTATTAATGCTAGTTCAATACAAGTGTGAGGCTCGGAGGTCAACCATGTTCTTCGGCCTTGCATGCGAGGACGTGAAAGAAGTAACAGCTACGCCCACCAGATTCGGATACCTCGTGAGCAGGGAAATTTGTCATTGAGGGCATTTTACTATCAGGCCGAATAGTGGCAACACACAAAAGTCCCTCGGGGTCGTGTGTACACGCACTTACATGAAAAATCCTTGGTGCTGCGGCGTTGCCGTGAACGGAAGCAGGAGTCCATTCCTGCCAGGTAGAGTGTGGCGGTAGGTAATGACAGCTCTCTGCTTGAGGATGCGGCACGAGTCGGTAACCCTGGTTGGACAGGAATTGTCAACATCCTGTGCTGCTAGCGCCATCACAACCAAGGGATTCATTTGACACGAACTTGCCTGTTTTTACCCAACGGCAATTACTTTTCGCGGGTACTTGATCATCGTGGGACAAACAAACACATATGGTCTTGGGGAGTTGCTCCTCCAGCCTGCCAGTTCTCACCGCCTTCGAACCTCGCAATGGGTGATGCTGTGATCGAACTCGAGAAGTTACATAGCAGTCCCTGACGTCCTTCTTCGGGTACGCCACAGAAGACCTGTCAAGGATAACTTTGGATAGAGTGTTTCCGAGCCGGAGATCAGTGTTGATCGCATGCGTGCTCACCTTTCGAAACCGTGTGTTTGTCTTCCGAACAACAGTTGAAGGACGGGGCACTGCCCCGCGGGGAGGTGGTCGCCATCTGCCTCGGTTGTTAGCAAGGTACGAAATGAATTGCCACTATGTTGTAACATATTGTTTCATTGAAAGGTATATATATGTGTTGAGGGACCCTGAGCAGTGGTGCTTTCTTCTGTACTGAATTCCCATCATGTTCTTACCTTTGCTTGCCCTCACAGGCCTCGCAGTGACCTGTGGAAGCCACCGTCTTCCCGCACGCGAGGCTAGCAGCCAAAGCCGTGTCGAGAAGCAGGAGTACCCTCAAGTCCCACTCACATCCCCACACCGACCACTTGTGTGGGGCGACTTTAACGTGATTCATACCACTGACACTCATAGGGTGGCTTCTTGGCCACCAAAAAACCAGCTTTCCAGAACCCAGCTTTAGGTAAGAGTAGGTAACGATATTGGTGCATGTACTTCAATACCCCTCCACATTGATTCGGGAGGGGTAAGTATAGAGAAGTACGATACTGACCGTTCCGTAGTGGTGATCTTGGACGACTTTGCGAGCTTCGTTACCCACATGAAATTTATAGCCAAGGTAAGTTCTTTGTTTACGATCTGTGGATCTCGCTCGTTGATGCGTCAATTATAGCAAAAAGGTGTCGACCTCCTGTTGGTCGATTCCGGGGACCTTCATGACGGTAAGCTATGATGTAATACACTGTATAGCAACCAACCTACTCTGTTTTCAGGGACTGGACTTTCCGATGGGTATGCGCCTGGGGCAATTGATGCGCACGAGGTATAACGATTCGCCATGCTCCCGTGTCATGGCTGAGTTGTTTGGCTTGTAGTCTAACAAGTTCGTCGAACGCCTTCCATATGATGTCATGACGATTGGCAAGTGCGTACGCTATACAGCACCCTCGGATAATCTCACTCGAAGGATATTTTAGTCACGAGTTATACGTTTATGAGGATACCTATGACATGTACGTTCACTGATCACCCTTCTGGACGTATTATGAATTATACTCTGTCCCCCTGATGATGTCTCTGATATACTTACCAGGTATGAGAGCTTCATCCCCCATTTTGAGGGACGTTATCTCACCTCAAACGTCAATATTACCATCCTTAACTCTGATGGAGAGGCCGTGAGCGTTCCTGTTGGGAGTGCGTAGTTTTCACCGACTGCGTGAGGTTAAAAACTGATTGGATCATTCCCCTCCACAGGTCGGTATGCCAAGTTTACAACCGCGATGTATGAGTATATAGCTCATTCCCAAGTACACGGCTGAATGATCCACCTCACAGGGGACGGGGTGTGACCTCCCTTGGCGTGTTGTTCGATTTCACAGGAAATGCGCACAACACCACTGTTCAGCCGGTAGCTAAAATGGTCAAGGAACCTTGGGTGGGTGTAGATGTTTCCGCAGATCAACAAATGAACTGATCTTACTCCATCAGTTTGCAGAAGCGATTGCGGAAGAACCCGACGTCATTGTCCTTGTGGGGTATGTTCGTCGTTCTCGATGATACGTGAACTGGACGTGTGCTTTCCCGTAGTCATATGGCCGTGTCAAATGATAGTTGTGAGTGTGTTTAAATGGAAAATTACACCGGAAAGTTTGAAGACCCTTCTCAGGGCCAGTTGTCTTCAACGCAATTCGTGCTGTGCACCCTTTGACCCCTATTATGATCTTTGGAGGTACCTTTCCTTAACTTGAGATGCTCGTACAGCAGCTCAGAAATGTGCAGGACACACTCATATCCGAGATTGCCAGCAGTACGATGGCAGGTCTATGGGAATGGAGAGTGGGCGCTACATGGAAACCATCGGTACGCTGTTCCCCTGGTTTCAACTTACTTTTCAACGTAATTCCATTTGCTTCAGGGTGGATGAGTAAGTATGCACCCCCCCGTCAATCAAGTTTCCTGAACTCAATGACCACCTAGGCGCCAATTTAAATGCCGGGAAGGACAACGCGAACGACATTAAGTTCAGTAGGAGGTATTTGGATCAGAACAGGGTTACCTATCAGGTATGTAAGCAGAGTCACGCAGATCGCACGTGTCGTATCGCCCTTGCGATTCCTATAAGATTGACTTTGATGACTGCAGTACCATACGAAAACTTCCAACCTCACTTTCGACACGCGGTATGGTCGCTCCATCACCGAAGGTCTCCATGACCTCGCAGAACAGTATGGCCTTTCTTACCAGTATGGCATTTCTCCTCGAGACTACACGATGACACGGTGAGTTCCTTTCTTCCATGTGATGAGTGGCCCATTTTGAAATGGGACCAGCGATCCATATCCATCTGATGGTTCCCTTCTGACCCTCTTTATCGAGGATCTGAGTATTAATAAACGCAGCTTCCGTTCTCCTCTGACTGTTTGTATATCTTCAGGCTATACCTACAGCCCTCAAAATTAACAACTCCCGCGCCGACATACCCAGTCTCTTCATTGCGACCTCCGGGAACCCTGCGCTTCGACATTTTCAAGGGTCCCTTCACGAAGAACGACCAGCTCACAGCCTCGCCTTATCCTGACCAGTTCCTATACATCTCCGGGGTCACCTTGCGGGTCGCTAACCAGGTCTTACCGGCTTTCAACAAACCCTTCAACCACCTCCTTGAAACAGAAGCGTACAGAGATGGACGCGAAATCGTGGGAGCTTGGTTATGTCGACAATCGTTTCCAGACATGGCTAGGGGAGACGGAGAGGCATACCACACACGGAAAACCTGGAAGACACGATTTGAACTTCGGTTATGTCACCGTTGACGTGAGTAAATTGTTTCTCTAATATTTTGTAAACTGAGTTTGTACTCACACTTTGACTGGCAGTCATGCCCCGAAGATGGCGACGACACACTTCACACCCTCCCTCCTTCCTATGACATCCCCGACTATATGATGTCCTCTCCTCCCAACGTGACGGACGACACGCCTATCGATCTCGTCTTCGTCGACTTTATCGAGACACCCGTCTTGAGTATCCTGAACGAGCTGCAGAGCGAGAAGAAGTATTCAAAAGATGACATATCGCTGTACAACCCAGTGATGTCGAATCAAGTGTTTGGACTGTATGCACAAGCGTACTGGAATTAAACACTGTTTGTTGGAAAATGTATGATTGCTCGTACCACATACGTACAGCTGCTGTACAATCGAAATTCAAACCTTGCGTGTTCACGTGACCAACTGCTTACATACACCAGGGGACGGGGTTGCCGCCGGGGTCCTTGCTCGCTTTGGGGGAGATAGGGTGCAGTACACTTGCTCATAATGCATAACATCGGACCAGCAGAAACTGACATCTGGTACTGCAAAAAAAATTGAATGATGGAAGGAAACAGTTCTGCATTATGAGCAAGGGTGCTGAAACTGAATAGGGATCAATTTCTTTGCTCATGTGTAAATTTGCACATGAAGCATGCGCTCACAAGGATTTCTGCCAATTTCACCCCGAGGAAGCAAATCTCACAGAATTGATGTGGAATGCTCTGCGTATTGGACTCCTGAGGCGGGCTACTTATTCATCAACCCATCGGTATGTATTTGCAATTTACGGTTGTGCATTTGCGATGCTCTGCAGAATGGTTCATGCGGAATCGATAGCATGGTCGACGAATACCACACATCTCTTGTGTGCGTGGCACTGGCCCTCTTCTCACTAGGACATACAAACCGTGCATCGACTCAGGACTGTCTCAGAGATTACCTGAGGAACGGAGATCCAGAAACAAGGCGCACCAGTCCATTGTTTCATTACAGCAAATGAACTTGCTCGCTGGCGTCTTTTGTGATCAGGGCGCACAGATATCGCGTTTTGAGGGTAGTCACCAGTACAGCGAGCTAGTCCTGTCAATCGCTACACGCAATGACCGTCGACTAGAAGCTCAAATTCATGAAATGGTCACAGCCTTCTTTGGGTATGCTAAGCTATCTCACGGATAGGATCAGGGGGAGACACTACTATGTGATATCCAAGATAGGGTTGTCTATGGCATTGCTGATACGGATGGTTTGGCAAAACCCCAAGAACTAAAAGCTGAAAGTTCATACGTAAATTTCCATACGCTCTCACCTGTCCCTGGCGCTGGCAGTCCCTTGATGTACTGGCGGACGATGACATTCCTGCTACGTGGGGCTTGGTAGATCTGCTGTAACCATTCAATGCATTCTTCTTGATGTGGCTGCCTCACAACGAGTGCAAGAGGATCGCACTCGATTGTACAATCCCCCCTTGCGTCGAGGATGTGGCTAGCATTGGGAAAAGTGAACTTCGGACATTGGAGATTGCACAGGTCTGTCGATCTCTCATACCGAAAATTCTGCATCCGTTGCTTTAAGACACTCTCCGACCTGCCATTAGGTTCTCATTGCTTCACATAGGTACATAGACCCTTCGTTAGCCTCACAGGAGAAGAGGAGCATCGCGCATATAAATGATATTTCATAGAGGCATTGCACCATTTTATGTTGTCCAAATGGCAGACGCAGCATGGAACTACTGGAATTACGCCACTCCCTTTCTTTATGCCATAGTCTTATCAAAAGTAGGATAGGTGGTAATATCGATCTTGGGCATATCGAACTACCTTGCTCCATCCGTAGAGCTCTCAACGTTTCCTGGAAGCTGTGGCGGGTTCGCAAGGTGGACAGCACTGATGCGCAGATCTGAAAGGGTACCTGCACCCTTTGATCGAAGGTGTTCCCGGGAGTTCAGTGAGGCCAGAAGCGAGTTGGCATACACTATTCAAGAATGAGCTGGGGTGTTCCGTCTATCGCTTGCACGGCACGGAAAACTGACTGACATTTTTCAACGACGAATTCCAACGCTATTGACCATGTATCTTGGACATCAGCGGTCTGAAGGAACTGTGAGGACCACATAATCGTGGTATAACAAGCCATACGTACCACGATGAGGTCTGCAAGGGCAACTAGTCTACAGTCAGAAGTCTGAATCGGGTCATGGTCACCAACGAGGGGGGATCAAACCTACGAAGTCAGCAAACACCGGTTGACAGCATAGATGATAAGCGTGTTCATGAGACGCTTCGTTCTAGGATGGGGTTGGTTAGGAATGAACCAACTTTTGAACTGACATGGGCTGGAGTCACCTTGGGAACGCAGAGCCAGAGCCACTATCGTAGAAAAGTATGCAGAGTGACACTGTAATCAGAACCTCAGTTAGTGCGACGGTGGCCAAAGCGGGAGTCACCCCGGAAAACTAGAAACGAATGAGACTGTGAGTCGGTGAACCAATTTCTCGCTTAATGGAACTACCATAATCTGTGCAAGAACCCCGGGCTTGGGGTTAGCGAATCTATGCAAAGAGATCAGTTTTTTGTGAGCGTGGTCGGATAGGTTGACATACTGCCGAACAACTATCTCTGACTGTCAATTAGAATCGGTTTCTCGTGGGTGAAGTGAAGAAAAGGACTAACCCATGTCAAACCCTGTTGAATGCCGTTAAAAATGTCTCATGAGTTCAACAAAAAGCTCACCGAAGTGAGCTGTCACTAATAGGATCTATTGCAACTATGTTACTAGATGATGCATTTGTCATCGCAAGCAAATATACTCACAGCTGGGGCAACCACTAACCACTTCATACGAGAGCGACAGACTGGGTGCCGTCAAGAAAGTCTCGAGACATTTAATAGGACCTACGGTAATATATTTGATGCACAAAGAAGCTACCGATATTCAGTTTATGAGCATCAAGGCATAATAAATAGTCACTTACCATTGAACGATAGAAATCACGAATGCCTGCAATACAGCTAAGTCTTACAAACAGTAGTGAGATGAATGGGACACACATTTACCAGAATCGTCGCCTAAGTGAGGAAAACATCCTGAATCAGCGCCCGATAGAAAATTGAGTGCGCGTACTGGCAATGACCTGGCATATCTCAGTGGGAAGTGATTCTGGACTGCAAAGGCATACAAACCAGATAATATACTCCAAATTCGTCGGAACGCCGTAACTAGTTATCTGCCAGAGTGTTTGAGCGCGACAGTTAACAGGAGACAGGTCGGTTTCACCAGGTAGTAATACAAGATATGACACACTAATCCACCGTTAACCATGAATTCATATATGTGCTCCAAACACTCACTGAACGTGGCATGTAGGGTATCGAGAATCCTGATTTCCTGTGAGTGGATTTGAAGGGCGTCCCAAGTTGGCCTAGCTCACCATATGGCAGCAACCACGATCTTCATGGCCAAGGCATCATCCGAGTAGTCCATGTAGTACACATAGGTCTATATAACCAGTAAGCAGATAACCAGCTTCAACATTCGATTTGAAACGCCCCTGGAGAGTCGTTATGCCGTATAACCTTGACGAGAAATAAGGACATGAGAGCCGGAGACATGACAGGGCCAAGGAAAGTCGGACATAGCGGAGACCAACCCTCCGATGAGGGTAGAACCTACGCGAGAAAATGAGCAGACAGTCCGTGTTGGCTACGAAAGGTTTTCACCAAACCCGCCCGGAATGCCCATTCTGTTTCGGTAATCTGGAAGTAAGGCGGACTCGTTGATGAACTCGCCACGAGGTGTGGATGGACAAGTGATTGAGAGTTATCTGGGCGTATCGATCTGATAGTGGATAGACCCTTTCCCTGTTTTTAAAGGACAAAAACTGAATTGATGACTATACATGGTTGATCCAAGGGTCCCTCGAATTCCCTTGGCCCATCATTACTTCAGGATCGTGTGGATGTCCTGTTGACAGGGATATGTAAACCCATCTGGAACAGTCCGTCATTCCCCGCAGCGCTTCTTAGACAAACTGTTCTGAATGGCATAAACCCATAAAAATGGGTGAGGAAGGGTGGGATGTGGGAGATCGGGTGCACGGGCGCCTCTGCGTGTGGTCTGCAGTTTGTGTGAATGTGTGTGGGCAAGGTTTGTCGTAGAACGTTGCAATTGACATGACTTGTGATCAGAACTGACTGGACCACAGGTTAGCTCAGGCACCAATGTCAGTATATACCTTATAAGCACACAAACCGAACAAGGGATTACATGGGTGGCGTAGGTGATGCAGGATCGATCCATCACCAAGAGATAGGAATGACAATATTGCTGTACACTATTCACAAAGTACTTGCGTGCACTTCCTATGTGTCACCGTTGAGTCATTTATCATTCCCCTGAGCCAATATTGACACAATGACCTCTTAACGCACCACACATTCCCAACCATATAGTTCAGCTCGTATACCAAGCACTGGCGCAAGGGGAAACTCTTACAGTAATATAACCAATGGAGTTGTGTAAATGTCCAGTCCAGATATCAGCAAAGCACTACAGACTCTAGCCCGTACGGTAAATTACGAATAGGAATTGAACAGGATGAATTTTAGGGTAACCAACTAAACAACTTGAGGGTATATAAGTGAGGTTATGAGAAACATAAGTTACGATGAAGCAAGGTCGCATGCCGGGTTCCTGCCCAACGACGGCAAAGATAGATATCGAAACGATCGCTGCAACCTGCTTCTGTCCTAGAAAACATCTAATCAGTATCTATAGTTCTTCTAAACGTCTCTTTTTGATGAGACGATGAGAAGGATCGACCTTGCGTGCATCAAGCACGCGTTGCAACTCCCCATACATAGGTTGTGCCACCCCAGTACAGTGAGACCTGATGTGAGCCCTGTTGCATGCATCACCCCTTGCAAACTCGTGCTTGCACGTGTCGCATTTGATACGAAAGCCCACGTGAGTGACTACATGCCTTGCGATGCTCGTTCCCTTCATGTTCGGCTTGGGACAGTCGCGCCAAAGACAACGAGTAGTCGTCTCCCCACCTTTGAACCCATGGAAATGCTGAAGATGGTCCGCGATGCTAGGCTGGTCGCCTTCGATCCACATTCCACATGCGGTATTCTCGCGGTCCCAGAAGCATTCATATACATGCAGCAACTTGTCAGGCTTCTGAAGAGCGTTATGCACAGATTCCTCGTCGATAAGAAGACCGTCGCACACCACCACTTGGTGGTCTTGTGGGGTTCCGCTGGCAGTAGCGGTGGAACTTGTGGATGACGTTCCCTCTATGCTAGTGTCAAATGTCTCGGCCTGAGCAGGCATGTGACCGAGGCCTGGAGTCGGGCTTGGGCTCGGAGAAGAGGCTCTCCTGGTGGTGCGTTGGCATGATGGTGATGGTCCCGATGGACCAACCTGAGAATGCCGACGAAGTCGAGCAGCGTGGAACGGGCTGGTAGCCTGGAACGCCGTTGGTAAGTGGGATGTCGGCGTCGAGCCAACGCTCACCGAAGACCAACGGCGGATGTGACGGGATGTTGGCTCCGTCCCCACGGATGACGATGAGGGCTGCACTGACATCGACGTTCCATAGGTATTTCCGAAAGGGTCTGGGGCGGGCCGCGCCGAAGGTGCGATCTGGGACGAGCCCGCAGCTGGCCGCAACGGCGTAGTGCTCCAACCTTCTGCTCTCATTTCCGACTCATCCATATACACAGGGGCAGAAAAATCCCTCTCATACCCGGGTACGCGGTGCCTGAACGACGACTGAGGACTGCGTCCAAGGGATGAAGGTAGTGATACCACGTTTGTCTGGCGGACGCGAGAATGAGATTCGCCAAGGAAAGGCAGACACGACTTTTCATGGAGCACCGGGGGTGCCGAGTGAGGTTGTAAGAGAGTGACCGAAGAAAAAGTTGTCAGGCCAGTTACCGGACGTCCAGGCGCGCAAGTTCGAGATGAATCTGCAGCTGAACCTGGGTTGGAAACGGGAAGGTAATCGACATCACTACGCAATGGCTGCGACGAGGGACCCGGCATATATGCATAAGGGTGATCGAATGAAGTGCGAGAGGGGAGCTGTTGCGAGGGGCGCGGCGGCTGTGACTGGTATTGACAATGCACGAAAGATGGTGCTTGCGACAGCCCGCTCTGACGATCACGATCACCAACAAGTCGACTCGTTGTTTGAATGTGGCCCCCTGGATTATGGACTGCGTCCGACTCGGGCGCGGTAGCCATCGTGCCTATCAAAAGTGACGCCTCATAGCCACAATCAGATTTACGGCTCATCGCGTGCACGTCGATGTCGCAAGTCGATCGGGGATGGAGTTTGAGAAGGCTGCGAGGGACTGGCATTTGGCTGACTAGTCCTTCCCGTGCGTGCGGTGTCTTGCACAAATCCATCCGTAAACGATGACGGATCATATGAAGAACTTGACCCGTCGCTGCTATAAATGTGACGGTCGTCAAACTCGTAAGGAAGATTGCAGGTAAAGCCTGAGATCGTCGATGCTGGGTGTACGAGTTCTTGGGTACTGACGTCACCATACCAAGCTTGGTCGGAGGGTCCTACATGCTCGTGTCCGGGAATGAAGTCAGGGTGACATGCAGCTGAGTACTCCCCAGCGCTCGGGCCCCGAAAACCACCGGCAACATCCCCTGGATGTGCGCAGTGTGCAGACCTCGAACTGTATTCGAAGTGCGTGGAAATGAGGTGAGCAAATATCTGGCTACAATGAAGGGGTGATGACGTACGAAAAAGCATCGAAGGATGCTGTCGTCTTTGTTGACCGTGTTGCATTGCGTGATACGTGTGTTCGACCCTGCTCAACGCGGCCTTGCCTTTCGTTGAGCTGAGGGGAAAAGTGGACATTACCCAGCCTATCACACAGACTCTTGCCCTGGGCTTCCTCGAGGACATACGTAGTCTCCGAGGGCGTGTGAGAAGGCAGGCTGTAATTATATTTGCCTCCAATTGGCTGTAATTGATGTCTAGGTCCGGTTGACCCGAGCGAGGTCGAGTGACCAGCACGTGGGAGATCCACAGTCACCGAGCTACGTATTCCAGATACGTCATTATCGCTCCTAAGCATCAACATACTGCAGGTCAGACTCCCACGCGCGCGGACGAAGAAACAAGCATACCGCGATGGAAGATCATCACGTTGCGTGTTATGTTGGCTTCTTTGCTCCCTAGCAGTGACTTCTTCCATTTCGCCTGGTACAACGTGCCGATCCCGCTTTGCCGTTGGTGTCAACGCCCCGCTGGTGCAGACATAAAACCGTCAGCATGATCCGACAATATTCCCGGAACATGACCACTTACTATAACGAGGATGAGCTTGCTTGGGGGTTACTGAACATAATAGAATGGGAGGGGATGCAACGAGTATGGGTATGAGGATTGGTATATGTATGATTATGGTTATGGGTATGGGAAGGAACGATGGTATAGTGCCTTGGAGTTTATGGGAAGAAAAGACGACCGAATGGAGAATGCTTGAGGGAAAAGTTGATTGCATCCCTAGCAGCACTAGTAGAAGAATTTATATGGTGGTTCATGGCACCATCGCAGGATTGCAGGGGAACGAAAGGCAGAGCAGCACCACGAGTTTTGCGCCGGAAACACCACCAACACGAGGCGCGCGCCGTTTTCCACACCTTACCATTGTGTTGCTGTAAAGCTGAGCTGAGAGGTGCGAGCGGAGAGACAAAATGGTGTGATATCATAGTCATGAGCACAACGCGCGGGCATACTCATGAGGCATGAGCCGTCCATCAAATGGTAAGGTCCGAAGCGTTAAAAGATTTGACGCTCGATCAGGCCGTTGACAGGCTGTGTGTCAAGCACGAGCCTCTTCGTTCAGAACCTGATGGCATGTCCAAATCATCACAACCAGTAAGCAACATACGGAGATCCTAGAGTAAGGGGGCTCAGCAGCAGCAACTGCGCACGCGCCGTAGAATCTCAAAAGTTATTTGCCACAAATCCGGAATGCGACGAAAGCGGAAATTGCGAGCTGCCCGTCTGCGCCCTCGGTCTGGCCCGGCGGCGCCATTAAATGATACGTCTCGGCGATAAGAATATAAGCGAAGTCTCCACGGACTAACCTGTAGGTTCCATCCATATAACAGGCGCTAATGAACACGCCGACAGACTCTATGGGTCGTTATCCACGCGGATTGATCTCAGCGTGTCCGTGGAGAAAGGAGGTACAAATTCCTGTACTGAATACGGTGAACATGCAGGCACATCCCCATATTGCCTCGCTTCGCACATTACCGAGACACTGGATGCAAGAGAACGAATGCTCCTCGAATGACGTAAAGACGTGGGGATGACTCGGTCGCAAGGTTGCATGTTGTACCAATGAATACTTGAGATCCGTAGATTATCAGTGAGATGCCATCGATAATCAGTACCACGAGCCAGTAAACGTCTATATGTATTGTCAGGGCGCAAAGCAAAATGCGTGAGAATATGTGCAAGGTTACTGTTGCGACCACTTACGACTCAGGCTGTGCTTGTCCTCAACGATCACAACTGTGCGTGTGTGCCATTTCCGAAGGCAAATACGACGCCTTGTGCTTAAGTTGCAACGTCATGGCACGGTCGGTTCCTGCGGAACCTCCGAACGAAATAAATATTTACCGGACAATGAACATTCCACACGTTTTTTGGAGCAACCAAAAGGGGCGACGAGACCAGTGCATGGACCACAGCAGGTGCAAAGAAGGGACACTGCGGTGTCTACAGGAAGTAAATGAATGGAAGCCCGCATTTGCAGACGAATTCATGACACAGCCCCAAAAGCTGCATTTCATGCATCCGGACTCCGTTATACACGTGTTTGAAACTTGACCATCTTATTCGCTATGCAGTAGTCAGAACATGAGAAGTTGAAAAAATGTCAAGCCCGCAAGACGGCGTAACGGGCGCACGCCCAATTTCATACCTAGACAAGACGTGCGGTGTACCCGTTATAAGTCTGTACACATCACAGGCTACCTCTTCATAGGGGTTACCTTGCAAGACAAATTCGCTCAGTTGGGGTTATGATAAGAAGGAAGCGTCTCTAACCTTCCTGAGGACAGTTATAACGTTGCGGAGATCAACTATGACATCTCTGTCATTGACAACAACTTCGACCCTGTCCTCTGTAACTTGCTGCAGTACATCCTGATTTCCGGTGGTCGTCTGAGCTGCTGCCGTAGGAATATAAACTGACCCGTGTAACAGGGATGCAGGTTAGCACAGCACGACAGAGGCGTTCTGCAGATGTTACAGCGGGGATAGGACGCACCCATGCCAGGTGTTATGAAAGCACATTCCTCATATTCTCCGATTTTTCCAACTTGCTGTAGAAGTCTCGTAAAAATACTTTAGAAAATCATCGCAGTATACACCTGGGCACAAAACAAGTTTAAATCCAACTGGCACCACGGCTGCGGCCTGTAGAAATGGGGTTGCTCTCACCTTCATCTTGGAGGTGCCAAGCGGGGAAACCACCACGTGGAGGGTCGAATTCGGTTGTCGGAATTCTCACGCACTAACCCAGCAACAGTGTACAATGCACACAGGAAAAATAGTAGACGATACGTAGCCAGTTACTTTTACTACTACAGATTCCTCGGAGTCGGATGTGACTGCCACATCAGACGACGCTGCTTTTGCTAATCAGCGGATCCGACCTAGAGTTGCCACCAGCTTTTCCTGTAGGATCCATTCCAATGTAAGTCAGGTAAGAGGCTACGCCTTGCGCCCCTGCTGACTTCCCGGTGCGGCGTGGAGTCGGGTAGGGTGGTGCGACTTATATGGATAGCTGACCTGTCAAGCTAGGCTGCGAAACAGTCCGACCCTACCTAATACACGAAGTCGGAGTTACCACACAGCTAGGGAGTCTGAAAAGCAGAGCGCCCGACGCTACTCAGTAAGCAACCTTAGTGCTGTCGCGGATAGCGTCCACTTACGGAATGGAACCTGCCCCGTTTCTGATAGGTTAGAGGATCCAGTATATCTGGTGTCCGTTACTGAGTTCTGCGATATGTGTCACTCACCCACATGATCATGGGTGCACGGACCCAAATCGTACTACATCGGTTCATGCCGACGATTTACCTAACCTGAAGTATACCACCGAACGAAGCTAGAACTGAGTAGAGTGCATGCGTCAGACATTCCCAGACCCCCCCCCCCCCCCCTGCCACACGCATCTCATGGAGAAGCAAACAGAAGTACCGACTAGATTCATTTACCTCACGGCACAAGTTGACGAGTACATTCACCCAAGTGAACGTACTGTACCTTCGCGAAAGACAAGGATTCGCTGCAAATCCGCAAAACAGGCCACCCCGTACGCGAATCTATGTCGACACTTTCCACACTAGTGTAAACATAAGCTCCTCCGATTACCACGTACATTTACCTTGAATTAGGACACCCGGTATACTCCCTAATTAACGGTGATTAACACGTTGTTTCCAGTGTTAAGTGAGATGGGAGGTAGCATCCTCCTATAATTCCTGCGTCGAAAGGTGTAATGAGTTGACTATGATATGGTATAAGCATAGCCTCTCCTGGTCTTTAATACAGTGTGACTTTATACTCTAAACCACTGGAACTACCAATTTGTACGATGGTGGCAGTTTACTATTTAGCAGTGGGAAAAACTTTCCCACCCTCTGAACGCGACCTAAACGTGCTATAGTAACAACTTCCAACGCACTCCTCGACGGGCTAGCCAGCCGCCAACGCCATTCAACTACAACCATGAACCTTTCGCTGTTCACGGTCAGCGCTTTTCTCATCCTTGACTCTGAGGGACACCGTGTCCTGGCGAAATACTACCGTCCGAAAAGCCACCCCAATGCTTCCGAGGCAAACAGACACCTCAATACCCTCAAGGATCAGCGGGCGTTCGAGAAGGGGTTGTGGGCGAAGACTAAGAAACCCGGCGGTGTGTCACTCCGTTGTCTGCTTGATTCATGTATTCATCACCCGCGTCATAACCGTACACATCACGCGGCGTATCATTACAAACACCATGGCAAAACGCAGGTGACATCATCCTCTACGACTCGCAGCTTGCGGTATACAGACACTCTCTCGACCTAATCTTCTATATTATCGGCTCGCCTGCCGAAAACGAGATCATGCTTCACGGTGCACTAACAGCCGTATGTGACGCTGTCCATCTGCTGCTGAGGAATCAGGTGGAGAAGCGAGTTGTATTGGAAAACTTGGACTTGGTGTTGTTGTGTTTGGATGAAACGATTGATGATGGGTGCGTGCTTTGCCGAGGTTCGCGGAGATCTGATATCTGATGAGGCCGTCGGCGCCATCAGAATTATCGTCGAGACAGACTCAACAACGATCGCATCGAGAGTGAGCAGGCCGAAGGCGGACACAACGGAGATCGTGATCAATGAGCAGACCCTAATGAGCGCGTACCAGACCGTTAGGGACAAGGTTCAACAGAAGATACAGCAACTGTAGCCGTAACGTCACAGTCCCCTCTTTTTCTCCTCGATGTTTAATCCCTACCTGCATCACCCATTCGAAAAACATATATTCCTCCTGTGCAAACTCCTGAAAGTTGATGAAGCGTGGTATCATTATTCCATGGAGAAATTTGGACCAATCGAAAGTAAGTTACATCATAACAAGAAGCTGACACAGTCACAGCAAAATACACAAGAATCCAGGGAAGAAAAAACCGTAAGACGGAAGTTATAGAGCGCTGAATGATACACCAAGCAATCTACCTCTGCCATGGTTTAACCACGAAAATTTCCGAACCGAAGAGCTGTACAAATCTCAGAGATCATTATGATATCCTACACCGTTTCGGTGGTGTTCGTGAAAAAGGTAATATGAATAGGAGTACTGTGCGGTTGGTGCGCGAAGCAGGGATAATGAGATTAATCGGAGGTGTCTGATGGTATGTGTCGCATTCATAAGCCAGTGAGAGAAACAATGCCAACAACGAGCAGTGATACATGTGATTGTTCACAAGAAAGGTAGACTGTACGAAATGTATGTCAGCGTCCACGTTCGAAAAAGTCAAAGGCGAGAGTAAGAGCGTGGGTGTGCCCAGGTACGTGCCCCTTGACAAGTATATGGTACGGACCTTGATTTGCGCACGAGGATCTCGTACACGGCTGCTGACGACGCTGCCACGACAGTCAGCGCAGCCGCAACTTTGCGAAGTGTGGCTTCGCTCTCCGAGGAGACGGAGAAATCGGGATGCTCATAGATGGCGTAGGGACGCATGAATAATATGAGGAGATGGGCAAGAGCAGAGAACTCGGTGAGTGGGTCGAGGGTGTGTGCAAATACTTAGATTTTGTAAGGGAGTGATGGGCTCACCATGGTCAGGGGGTGCCCTTTTTATACCACGCTGCGCCATTGGAACCGTATCTTTGTGTTCCTGTCAATCCATACTGGGTTAACTGGTACCCCGCATACCTAGTTAGCAGCGGCATAAGCTTACTTCCGGCCATGTCACATCTTCCGATTCCCACTATCTGAGATGATATGATCTTCCGGTCACAGCTCCATACCGCCCAGCCTCGAATTCCTAAAGCTGTATTCTCTTGTATTCCGTCCAGAGGTTCCCGGTCCCGGTCCCAGATACCAAAACAGGAACCTCTGAATGCAGCTTCTCTGAATATGGCACCAAATCTCCGATCCTAAGGACAGCCCTTCAACGTTCTCCCTCCAACAAACAAATGTTTCCCTTTCATTGTCTGGTAAGCTGTACGGGACCCAGTGATACAATTTTGGTGTCAAAGTTTATCGCACTCGCATAAACCTTTGACCGACACGGTTTCAGGTTCGTAAGTGGTAAGTCATGCGTATATGCTGACGTAAAACTCGTCATTAGAGTTTCCCTGACTTTCCCCTTCAGAGTCGTGCACAGAAGTTCACTATGTTCCGGCCCCACAAACTCATTCGCCGTTCGATCATTCGAAACCTGAAGACATGTGAAGGTCCGGATTAGGCATATGTACCAGTTCATTCCCGCCTTACTGTGGGCCTCTGTGGGTCCCTATTTTGCAGGGTCAAGACGTTGATATGTATCAGATGGAGCTTTAACGGTGCATCGTGACTAGGTCACTGAAGTACGCGTATGGATTAACGTCACCACCGCGGTTTGCGGAACAAGGGATGAAATATACGGGTTTGATTGACATCCTCTGTGCTCGATTCAATCATCCACGTTTTTCCTGCCGTTGATCTCGACGAGTGACTGATTCATCAGGTCAGCGTTACACCCGTCGACCCACCTATTAATACTGGCCTACTAGTGCTTGTCGTAATCAAGGTTGAGCGAGAACGCGGGCATCGGCCGACTCTTCACGAAACTTGCCGATGATGAGATTTTTCCATGGAACATGGTCGATCTCTCGACACGACTTCCTGGCAAGAACACTTGGATTGGGCCATCTGACCTCGTCAAACTGGGTATCCGATGGTAGGTCTCTGCTTACAGTATAGCATGCCAACGCCACCGAATGATCAGATAACGCCACTGTCGACATAGCACATGCAGGTTTATTAGAGATGCGGTCCTGACAATTACGGCCGATCATTCATATTTGCGGTGAGTACGGGCGAAACAACCTTATAGGCCTAAATTTTTCAGGCTCCCAGCTTGCGTCGATTACAGCGGTTGTTGCAAGGTGGCCCTTGGCCTCGAGTCTGCACCCCTCAAAGGTTCTGAGGTCGAACTGGCGTCCACAGTAAGGCAGTACTGATTTCAAACTAGGTAAAGTTTCCTCAAATCTCCCCATGTTTACAAAGTTTGAATCTCACGGACGGTTCTAGTTGATCCATGTCAGTGATGGACACTACTGCCATCGGTCGGATAACTCGCGGATATAAGAATACGGCTCATTATTGGAATGCCGTCTCGAATGTTCGCACTAGTGCGCTTCCAGGTGCGTAAACGGAGAGGTACACGGCCCTAACCAATTCGGGACGTAATGTGGACTGGGACGAGTAGTACAGTGCTCCATGGCGGCACAATGAAAGAGCTGCACGGCGTGGTCTTTCTGAGACTGTGGAAGTCTCCTGTTTCGATGAAACGAAGTTGACTTGTATTTCGTAATGTTCAGGGTTGACGTGTGGTGTGCTGATATCTTGATCAGTTTCTACTGTTGAACCGTTACATACCAGTGTCGGGCGACCTATGAAACATGAAACAGAACTAACTCAATCTCGCTTGTATAAGTGTGGCTCTGCTTAGTTTTATGGTAAGTCCTCTTCTACCGTTGACCATCGTCAGCACACTAGGTGAGAGCAACAAGAAAAAGGCTCCCACACAATTCCGCGCCACTGATACCCAACCATCCAGTATAGTACTGTCCGATAACGTCGCATAAACACGCAGATCTATCCCATAGATGGCTTGGGGACCGCTTCAAGCCCTCTAGTATGTAACCTTATTGTTTTCCATTCCTATGCAGATGACCAGCAGGTGAAAATATCCAACGGATACTGATGTAAAATGTCAGACCCGGAAGTGTGCACTAGAGAATCGCACTGTGGGTCATCTGCGGTTTCGCGGGTTACTTTCCGTTTGACAGATTGTAACCCGGAATGACAGTACTCTCGTTATCTCGTTCATCAGATTGCGGATATGAACCTGGCTGTAGAGTTAGCTCCGAGCACTGAAACACCCTAAAACAGCTTGAAACACTCACGTTCCACCAACCAAGCACTTGTATATGAAGTAAGTACGTACGTATTTGCCACTTGTTTTGATGTCAGATCTTGACTGGTTCTCCTAGGCCGCCTAGGATACACGCCTTGCAAAACCAGGCACATGTGGGTCCCTCATCCTCCGATGATAAGTGCCAAGCGGAATCTTATCTCCGGATTTGGGCAACACTGTTCGCGAACGCTTAACACTTAAGGTAGGTAAGTATCTCAGACAGCAACGAGTGAATTTCCTCTCGTATATTCTGTACACTAGTATATTGACGAGAGGTGACATCAATGCGACCTAAAGCCGACGTAAGCTAGCTGGGGGGTCAAAGTTGATATGCATACATCATAGCTGAAACCGGCTCTCGCTAGCAACGACTTATACTTAACCTTCTCATGTTGCGAGCCTCGAGTGAATGCGCACTTGCGATCATTTACGTGCGTGGAACAGATGCTGAGAAACAGGTCATAGATCAATGTCAGAAAAGGTTAGGAACGACGACCACAAGCCTGGCCTTTGAAGACTCCGTGGGACCAGTGAGGGAGAAAGTGGACAGAATGTGCTCCTAGTAGTGTATTGGTTTCACTGCATGGACTCCAAGTAGTCAATACTGCAACCTGATCTCAGTGATCGATCTGCTAGCCGAAGTTGAAGTCAGGGCAAACGTTCGGAGCTGCCAACAGGTCTCGGACGTAAGGGTGGTTCCGTTAGATGACGTCGGTACCCTTCCACCACTGCAGCCAGCGGGCCAACCAAGAAAGGGAGGTGCGACGGCGGTGCGGACTACTACCCGTGTAAAGTAACTCGTCAAGAGTCTCGGGCAACTGAACTACTGAAAGCGAACCATCATTACATCGCGTCTGTAACTGTCCATCCTCCTGATACAAACGCTATCCTAGACCATCATACGAAAACACAACCTAGAACAGACACACAAAGTTACTCGGAAACACGTGCCTCCCGGGCTGCTTCCTCGCCTCATCCAGTAACTCCCCAGACCACCACCCATCCTCTGGCGTCTCCGTCACAGCGATGATATCCCCGGCCTGGAAATCAAACTCCTCGTCGATCGTAGCAGCGTAGTCATACAAAGCTTTGACTGTTTGCGTTATTAGCGGTAGCAGGGGGAAGGTGTAATTAACAGATCCGTCAGCACACATGAGTGTATGGGAGAACCTGAACGCACCATAAAACAAGATTGGCCTCCCATCGTCCGTGTATGAACATGTCGGTGCATACTGTCCCCTCGGAGGTTGCGGCGACGGCGACCTCCCGACGGCCGGACTCGGCGCTCTGAAACCGTTTCCTGCACCTGACCCCCCATAGTACCTTACCTGCTGATTATTAGAGCCGTGCACGACAGGTCCTTGCTGATACCCCTGCTGAGACGGGTATTGTCCAGTACTACCATATGCACCACCTCCGCTCACGCTCGGATGACGTACAGGCGGACCATACCCTCCGCCTCCGCCTCCGCCATATGATGATGGGGGTGCCACCACTGCTGGTTGTGGTGCATGAGAGGGCGGGGGAGCACTATAATGAGACGCATGGTGCGATTCGTAGTGTGCGGGGTGACTACCGTATGGCCCGGGAGGAGCCTGTGTCGTCGCGGGCACAACAGCACCATAATACTCGTTCCTCGAGGGTGGTTGGGCAGGTGGCAGTACCTGGCCGCCACCGCCACCCATACGGCCGTCGCCATACCCTCCTGCACTGTAGGGTGACACCGGAGTCTGCCCTACTGAATGCGTCGGTCGATGCTGCGGCTGCGCCACGGTTTGAACTGCCATCTGGTCGTGTACGACACGCCCGTCCGGGCCGAGAGCAATACCGACGGGGTTCGAAGGCGTCACAGGTCTTTGTTGTTGTGGTTGGTGCTGTGGATGATGCTGTAGTTGAAGTTGTTGATGATGCAGGGATTGCGATCCTTGCGTATACGAAATACTCGTTCCCCTCATAAGTTGTTGACTCCCGCCCTGCGGCGCCCCGCCAACGGCGACCGGTCCCCCCATCCCCTTTCCATAGGGTTGCACAGCACCTGGCCCGAAACCGCCCACAGGACTCGCACCACGTACAGGAGAAGGACCACTTGCCATTAATGATGCCGTTCCTATTCCAGGGTACCCAGCTCGACTGGTCGGCCTGGGTCCTGGGTCCTGATGTTGCATCTGTTGTGGATTCTGGCCGGCACCAGAAGGGGACTGACCGGTAGCAATGGGCGGAGGGGCTACACCGACATATGAATTCGCTCTACTCCTCGGCTCGCCGGGGAACGGCCTCTGATAATTCGCGACTACTTGTTCGACAGGTACACCCCCCGACGCCGACGATGCAGGCATCCCAGCCCCAGACATTGGCGCAGACAGGCCTGACGTGCCAGATAACGATGTAGATGCCGAGGATGCCCCGGCACGAGACGGAGGCCCTGCAAGTACCGCAGTGGGAGGGACAGGATTGGGAGATGACGGGCGCGAGTGTGCGAGTGGATACGACCCCACAACGACATCGCCGCTATTGCGGTAGTCCCTGGTATTGGGGCTAGATCCTGAACTGAGCCCTGATACAGGTGTCGATAAAGTCTCCGACGGCTTCCCCCCCAAAGATGGGGATGTCCTCGAACTTGGAGTATCCTTGCGTATAGTGTGCCGTCGCTCGGGTCCCTTCGCTGCAGCTGCAGCCGTGCTCAATTCCGCCATTTGCTTGACCAGCGGGTCATCACCCGCACCGATGCCAACGGGTGGGGATGTGCGTGATGCCGATTGTGCGGTGCTGGGACCGGACCTCTGTTGCTGAGGATCTTTAGAAGGGTCGACTTCCCATGCTTTGTTCCCGATCACAAGCTGCGTGCTCGATACAGTAGGATCGACAGGATCTGGGGGGTGAACATGAGCCGCCGAGGATGTCTGAAAATGCGAATAGGACTGAGAGTGGGAGTGCCCATGTGTACGCGCTTGAGACGGGGCACGAACAAGTCCAGACGCGGTACTGTTGCGTCTCTGTGCTTGCTGAGTCTGAGCCTGTTGTTGGATAGCTGACGAAGTTTGTTCGCGAGAGGGGGAAACATGTCCATTGATACCATTCGCCTGGGACCTCTGCGACTTATGCGTTGCGCTCCTCGAAAGATCGGCCTCTGTCGGAGCACCCCTCGTCGGAGGTCCTCCGCCAGCACCTACACCCGCATGATTCGCTCCGTTGTCAAATGGCAATTCTTCTTCCTGGGCTGACATAGATTTCAGCACCCTTTGTGTCACCCTCGCATATGCCGCTGGACGGGTCATGATTCTGTTATGATTGACGGGCGGCGCATCAGTGTTGGCGTAGTTAATGAAAGTGGGGGGTTCGGGGATGGCATTGCCGGTACCATAGTCGTGAACGAAGTTGTCCATTTCTTTCTCTGGTTCCATTTGTTCGAGTGCGAGACGCATCTTTTCACAGGACTGACGAAGATTTTCTTGAGCAGGCAAAAAAGCAGGAAGGTAAAGCGGACGTACCTCGTCGTCAGAGACACAGACAGTAGAAACAGCATTGGCATATGACCACAAGTTGTCCTTCACGAATTCCATCCTCTCCTCTTCCAAATCCTGACAGCTATCGCAAAACGCCCTCCAATCCTGCTCCCACTTCTGAACTGTTTCTTGTAACACTCGTGTGAACTGTGCATAATCATTCTCATTGACCTGTACAGTCTGTTGTGCCCTTTCCAACTTCAGATGGATCTTTTCCAAGTCTTTACCCTGTACGAGGGTACTCTGAGCGGTGTACGAATTGATGCGCACGCAATCGGATTCATATTTCTCACGTGCTTTGGAGGCGTGCTGCTCACGCGTCTGTTTGGTGCGGAACTCTTTCTCGATTGCTGCTTGGTAAACCTTTTTGTGTTGTTGTTGCTTGGCTGCAAAGGCAGCAACGGAACCTTCGATTTCCGTACGGAGTTGTTGGGCAAGTTGCATGTGACCTCCGGCTTGTTTGTCGGTTTCAAGACGGAGAGTGTCAATGGAGTTGCGAAGTTCTCTGTTAATATAAAAATGTGATCAGGTGGGTCCGTGGGTAGATGGCGTGACCGGCAGGTGTCCGCATGACTGTGCTGCTCACAGGATACCCTAACTCGAGTGCCATTGTAAGGAAGACACTTACCCTATCTCGTCTTTGCCTATAGACATCTTTGCGAGCTTGGCGAGTCGTTTTGCATATTCCTCTTCAATGGCAGCTCTGTTCATGTGGTAGTTGGCAGTGACCGTCAGTTCAGGCATATAGTGGGGAATAAAGAGAAATGATTTCGTTCATGTATGGGAAGTAAGGAGTGGCAGATGAACGAAACACGGTGTTTCCGTGTGCGTATGAAATCGGTGATGAACAAATCATCCGTCGACTTCTGATAGCATAGCCACCCACGTATGTAGCGAAAGAACAAGCGAACCCACCTTTCCTTCCAGAAATTCTTTAATTCCTCCATCGTTCTGGCAGCACCTCTCATCCTGGCGAACAAGACATCAACGCCGCCATCGCCAACCCCCCAGAACGCGTTGCAGAAGTCAAGGGAGCGAGCGCCGTTGAAAGAGACGTGGTCGTCTGGAGCCGCAGACGCTGATCGTGCATATTTAGCGAGCGAAGCCGTAGATGGCTGTCGTCTTGCAGACGACATCCTGGATGGTGGTAGTGATGTTGTTGGTAGTGGATATGGATGTGGGCGGGAATCTTTCTGGCTGGTATCGGGTGCTAGTTGAGGGGTATTAAGCAAACCTGCGACGGGCAACGACTCGACGACAAGGGTCGAAACGACATCCCGCAAGCCCAACGCCCACACTGGGCGAGCGGTGGCTGTGCTAATACTGTCACAGCCACCCATCACGACCTTCCATCGAACAATGATGCAGAACTTCACGGCCATAAATCTGTGGCTACTCCCTGAATTACCAAGCAGAGAGCACGGTCAGCCATCTACTCGTAGTAGATCGTTTACTGCAAGTCAAATAATTCTGAACACCATGACGGCAACTTGAGCATTGACATCCTTGTTAACGCCTCCACGGGACGGGCTCATGTCGCAGCGCAATAACCTTTATGGTATCGGTGATCATCATCGACGTACCGCAGCCCGAGGTGGCTGACCGCACCGCCGTAGCCATGCCTTGAGCTGATACCGTTGGATATCACGTTCGTACGTCACGGCGATACCTACACTGTGCTCTTCCACGCCTAACGAAACCGCAATGATCAGCACCGGTAGCGGTGCTCCCACCACATCCGGAAAAACGCGACACTTACACTGCCAACTCGCACTTCGGAGAAATATACTTTCCAGGGAGAGGCTCCCGAGCGCATTGTGGCTGCGTCTAAGTCGTTGTACCATCTTGTCCAAGTTTCTTCTGTCGCTCGCTGTTCGAGCGTGTGATCAGGAGGGGTATCTAAAGCTCCAATGACTTTGAAAACGCTAACCGTACCCTAATGACTGATACATTCGCATCTACTGAACAAATATAGCCCTGCTTGGGTACGAAAAACATCTCCATCGTTGAAGTTCTAATCTCACAGCCAGAGGCGATGCTTAATTCAGTCATTTCGTGGAACAGTTATGGTAACCCAAGCCAAAGCACAGGACAGAGATCGTCGCAAAGGATAGGCTTACTGCCACAATCGACTGCTGTCATTAGAAGTCATCATCGTCGATACGGGTAAACACATCTGTGGAGGGATATAAGCTGGCTCAACCTTTTCAGTACTGCTTCCTGCCGGAGTCAACACCTGCCATCAACCCCCCCTGCGTACACGAAGTGCCTTTTCATCAAACCGGTACCAACCCCAATGCCAATTTCGGCACCTGCAACGACGCCCCAGGTGATCAACACAGCACAGAGAAGAACGCACTCATGAAATCCACCTCCTGGACTTGAAATATTACCGCGGCATTGTTTCCCTTCCATCTCATGCTCTGACTTCCATGAGTACATGTGACCCTGACGAATCGTAATCGTGTGGCTGTAGGCCGAGGTGGGCTTGGCCACCGTGGGCAGGGAGGACATGATGGGAGTGTGGATCTTGGTTGTCCGTGTACGTGGTTTCGTTTCATGCGTGGAAAAGTCAGACAGCCTTATTATCCGTCGTAGAATCCAAGCGCGCTGAGGTAGACTATTGCCCATGTCAACGAAACATGGTCACAGATCACTGCTAGCACTCTCTCTTTGAGACACGAGACACCAAGAATTTGACTTTGAGCTGGCTTACCATGAACATCGAATCACTGCCCGAAACACAGATTGTACGTCGCACCCAGCCACGCAAAATTTCGATGCCATACGATGTGGCCATCCCATGTCGATCAGATGGGTTAGGTCCAATCCATCGTCACCACTAACACCAGGGAAAGGATTGCGGTGCTGAGTGATGACAGTGACTGGGATTGGTCCACCTCGGATTTTCAGTCAGCACTGTAATCGTGATCGCGAAGGTACGTGCTCTGACATGATGGGCAGCTGCCCTCTGATCGTCTCCCTCAAATAGCAGGAGATTGGTCAATGCGTCTTCGAAGGGTTCCAACTTAGCTGTCCATTCTACTAGCAGTGTAGATAGCTGACCAGGTGTAAGTATTTGAAACTGCAGGTCCCAATTGAGGTTCTGGTGCTCAGTCTTATCATGGACGCTTACAGTGATCCACACAGCTTCTGGTCTCAGTCATTCAGTCAGGTGCTGTTAAGTGTCTCCTTTCCAAGACTCTGGTTTTTGTGTATGAATCATTGTATGGGTGTAACATGACCTCTCATCTTCACCATGAAGTTGTCAAGCCAGTGGGAGGCTATTCAACCTCCTGCTCTTTCAAGTAGGTTACCTGTAGGTGTTTCTGGTGAGATGTAAACTTGTACAACTGACTTGGTTCTGGCTTCCAGAGAAGTGCAGGCACACCAACAGTATGGGAATGATCCCTGCATCAGCAAATCTTCAGGCTGCTTACTCACACTTTTCACACTTACTCCAAACCTGCAAGTGTCCAAGCAGCATAAGCAACTTAGGTCTCAGCTTTTGTTGGCAGAGCTTTCTAGATTAAGTAATGGAAGTAAATAAGTCCATTAAGTAGTCATAAGACACAATCAATATTCTCAGTAATCCAAGTTGTATACCAATTATCTAAGAAAGGGCAGAGCCACAAGCGCCCAACTCCCCTGACAGATTTCAGTTTATCTAGGTATGCCTACTACTGTGGTTTGGGCAACTGAAAAGATATGTGAGTTCATCATCATTCCTAATATTCATCTAGTGCTTATGAACATATTTTAGGAGATTGACACAGACATCCTCTATGATAGTTTGGGTGCAGTGAGACAACCCACCTCAGACCAACTCTGGACACCTCTAAACTGGACTCAACACCCAGACTCTCCTTCTGCTGACACTCCTAGGCCTCCATTGGACTGGTCTCATGACTTGCTGATCCCTGGTTCATGCCTATCTGTGTTCTGCCCTCCAGTCCTTGTTCCAACTCAACCCTAGCTGTCCTAGACAGCCTTGTTGTTAGATTTGGCAAGTCATATGTAGTCTGTTCCAGACACATCCATCCTGAGTGGTGAGAACAACTTTCCATTTGAAGTCTTCATACCTTATCATTATTGTTGCTCATGCAATTAACCTTTGTGCAGTGAGTCAATGTGTGGAAAGGTGGTGTAAACCAACACCAAAGACAAATAAAGAGCAAGTGGCAGTGTGCCTCCATGGTACCTAGATGGCAGAAAAATCTGAAGTGTACATTTTTCAATAGATGGTGCTCCTAGCAATAGTTGTCAATGAGTTATGCAGGAGTGGACAAACAAGTGAGGAGAAGGTGAGGGATGCTGATGGGAGTGGGGGTCTTCAATAGAGAGTGCTCCTGGCAGATATTGACATTGAGTTGTGTAGGAGCCAATGGAGGACTAAGAAAAAGTTGCTGACCAAGTGTGGGGAGTACTGCAGAAAATGAATGATGGTAGATAGACCCTTAATGGAGCCTCAACTACCAAAGATGATGAGTGATGGCAGATAGACCCCTTTGTGGAGCCTCAACTACCAATGATGATGAATGACAGTGGATTGACCCTTAATGGAGCCACAACTGCTGAGATGATTGCTAGACTGGACTGAACTGATTGCTTCTGGATTGCTTGTGTCTAAGTACAGGGAGTTTATATACTGTAGGGGGAGTGCAGCCTATGACACAACAGATTTTGGAGAGTTAAACACAGCTTTATATGTAGTAGAAAATGTAAAGACTGCACTTGAAAATTAATTTGATAATTCTTCAATGGCAACACTTGAAGTTTTTGTGAATGCCTCAATGTTTGCCAATATTTCAAGTTTTGCCTTTGAAAAATTGTCGAATTAATTTTCAAGTGCAGTCTTTACATTTTGTACTACATTAAAACCTATGCTTAACTCTCCAAAATCCATTCACATGTGGATTTTTGCAAGTTAAGGACAGGTTTTAATGTAGTACAAAATGTAAAGATTGCACTTGAAAATTAGTTTGACAATTCTTCAAAGGCAAAACTTAAAGTTTTTGCAAATGCCTCAATGTTTGCCAATACCTCAAGTTTTGCCTTCAAAAAATTGTCAAATCAATTTTCAAGTGCAGTCTTTACATCTTGTACTGCATTAAAACCTGTCCTCAACTCTCCAAAATCTGTTGTGCAACAAACAAGGCACAAATGCTTGGTAAGTGATGAGTAAGGGCTGTAAGTAGTGAGTAATTGATAATGAGTAAGCAAAAAATGAAAAGTAAGTAAGCAAAGAAGATTGGTAAGTACTGACAATGAACAAGTCAAGGACAGTCAAAACATCAAAGGATGAGTCAAAGAATATCAGAAACTGAGTAAGCACACTGGTACTGCATTAGGGGGTGGTGATGCATGTCAAACCTCAGTAGAGTTAACACTGGATCAAAGGTGGGATGACAGATGGGGAAGTATTACAGTGACTCCAAATGTCATGACTGTGCATTCATTCTAAGTCCTCACTCACTCTGCACCCTTTTCCACCAGTCATTCACTCACTCCACACCAACTCTGCCCACCTTCTGTCATTTACAAACCATCTCCACTCTGACTGCTGTTGGACTTGTACTTCTCTCCTACTGGACCATGTGGACCATTCTCTGAGGGGTCATGTGACTACCCTTCAGACTTCTCCCTGACAGCATGCAGTCAGGTACTCTGCAGTGCATGCACCACATGGTCCAGCACCTGGACTGTTTCCTTTTTGGGATGTTCTATGTTACCTGTCATATGTCCTCTGTCTTCCCTTCATTCATCATCTAGGAAGTTTTACTTGAAAATTTATGAGTCCCCATATGTCAGTTCTGATTCTGATTACTGTACCTCCGTAGTGGGTATAAAAGCATGTACTGTACTCTGCTGTTCTTCAGTATGAATATCAACTTAGTTCCTACTCCCTCTTCTCCATCTTCTGTCTGTTGGAGTTACCTCCAACTATCTGTCTATTCTCTCCCTTTGAAATATGAGGGCTGAGATCATGCAAGGGGGTAGTGCTGTAGGAAAAGTCCAAGTAGCTGTATGATATGAGCTAGATGGCTTAGATAACAACAATAAAAAATGAAGGGAACAAATTGCTCATCCCAAGGGATTCTGAACTGCTGAGACTAGAAGGTGAGACCCAGTGCTT